TAGCCACAGCCCAGGGGAAAATAACCAGCACTTGTATGCCAGGAAAATCAAACGCTTTGTCTGCAGCCAAGGTCAATGTGCAGTAGCAATTTTTATGGTGTTCACTGAGAAAGCACAGATTTGCTGAACTGCCTACCAGTGTGGCTTTATGGAGGATGCTTCTGGGAGTGATTAACATTAGAAGCCCCAGGCCTGGGGCCTGATACTGTTGGGAACCTCTCCTGAAATGTTTCTCTATTTAGTTTAATCCTGTAGATGTTTGGGGAAAAGGAGTGAGGGACTGCAGGATGGTTTTAGAGGGGCATGTTATTTGCTTTACTGCTGGGGAGGAAACCTTCAAGACAAATGTTCAGCAAGTTGGGTAAGCACCGAGTGAAAAAATTCATCTTGTTGTTACTGTGCTGTTGTGGCAAAGGGACAGAAGTCCCAGCTCAGGGGAACTGCCAAATGTGACAGTTGATAGACTTCAAAAAAGTTCATGCCTTTGCTTTAAAAAAAAAAAAAAATTTTTTTTTTTTTTTAATTTAGCTGCATACCTCTACCCATGACATCCAGGTAAATGCTCACTTTGGCCTTGAAGCTGGCAGAGGCATCATCATCTTCATCATGCTCACCATCTTCTGCTGCTGCTGCTTCTTCATCATCATCTTCCTCTTCTTCTTAATCCTCATTATACCCATGTGTGGCACCGTGAACCTGCTTTGTAAAAGCCAACTAGAACACCATCCTCATGGACACCTATTCCCTGCACCCACGCCAGCGTCTCGGCAGTGTTGTAAACACCAACAGAACATTTTAGGGGAACAGTGTCCTTTTTTTTTTTTTTTTTCCCAAAGGTTTGCTCCCGTTACCAAAACTGACGCCATTTAAGCGCAGCAGTTTCGTGGGGCTGTGATAGTGCGGAGGGCCCCGCTGACGACTTTCACCCTAATTACTGAAAAGCTGGTTGAGAGAAGGAGCCGGCCCGGGGCAGGGCGAGCTCCAGGCTTGAGCCTGTATCTTTACCCGACGGGCGCTGCCTATCGCTGCCTTGCCCGCCGGCCGCCCCGCTGCGGAAGGAGACGCGTGTGAGTTCTTCCCTCTTGGAATATCTCACTTCTTCCCCGCTGCTCTGCCCTCCCAGATGGTTTCTGTTTAAATCAGGAGACCTGCGCTCTTATTTGAAGTGTTAATAGTGACAACCTGGCCTTAGCGGGTCTATTAGCCGCGGGCGCTGCCCTGCATGGGTGGTAGCCTGGCAAGGGGCGCGGGGCTGGCGTGGGGCGCCCTGCCCGCCCACAGCTGGAGCAGCGAGCATCCTCCATCGCTGCAGACTTTCTTTCTCCCCCCCTCCAAGCCTTTAAAGATGTGAGTTGACTAGAAAATTTGTTTCCCGTGTAGATAGATAGATAGATAGATAGATAGATAGATAGATAGATAGATAGATAGATAGATAGATAGATAGATAGATAGATAGATAAATTAAATTTTGAGACAAAAAGTTCTCGAGTGCGATTGCTGTGAGAAACTAGAAAGCTACGTGTGGGAACTGAGTGATATTCTCAGGTTTTTGGCATTCTGCTTTTGTGTCTATTAATAATCCCCCGGAGTGAGTCATATGGAGATGCATTTATTCACTGAGTCGGAGAGAGCTGCTACCCAAAATAGCAGCTATGTAATTTTTTATGATGCTGTAATGCCAGTGCGGCAAAGATTGACATCATTTAACAGAGATGCTTTCTGCCTGGCAATCAGATAACCCCTGTCAAGCCCGAAAATAAACGTAGAAAGTCACGTGCTCAGTTATATAAAACAGCGGTGAGAGCCGGCCATGCTTTTTGCCCTTTCCTGTGCACCTTTTGCCTTTTTTTCCCCTTATCCCTTGCTAAACCTTTGCTAATTTGTTTAAACCGGAGCATGAGGAGCACTGGGCCAGAGGGATGGGGAAACAGCTTTTGCTGTGGAGGGGAGGATCACGCACGTCTCTCAGTGATCAACATTTACTCTGTTACCACCCCGCCGCCCGCAAGGAGAAGAGGTCCGTGGAGAAATCCTAAAATGCATCAAAATCAGTGTGTCCAGCTGGGAATTGCTCATCATTTCTTCTCCCCCACCGGCTCCGCGTGTCCCTGCGCAAACTTCCGAGCATCCCCCTCGGCCGGGGCTGGTGCCCAAAACCCAGCGGCTCCTTCACAGCCCGATGGCAGCGCCCGGCCAAGGGCGTGAAGGCAGCACAATGCTCGGGCAGGGTGTTCTAAGGAATGGTGAAACTGGGCTCTGCTGTGCTTCTTCTCATTCTCTGCCCTGCACTGCTGCCATCAGGCCTGTCCCGGCGTCGCAGCCGGCGGGCGCCCGAGCCGGCCCGGGGTGGTCCCGGTGCTCCCCAAAAGCACGTGTGGGCACCACTGAGTACTGTGCACGGCGGGGTTTTTTTGCACAATTTTTGGCTCAAATGCCTCTGCAATCGGACCCGCCCTGGTGCCGTGCCATTGCACTGGGCCCGCCACCAAAGGATTAATAAAGATGAAGTCGCCCACTTTGGGGTTTAACAGCTTGGGTGAGCTTTCCCAGGCAAGCGGTGTTTTATAGGACCATTCCAGATGGAAACGTTTATTAACATTACCTTTTTATGTAGCACTTTTAGGAAGAAAATGGGACTCCTGCCACCGGCAGCTTCGGGCTGACGTGAATGATGGGTCTTGGGGACGAGCAGCAGCTGAGGCTGAATTTTTGTCAGAGCTGCTGAAGTTCTCCGGCTTCGGGTGACCTAACTGGAAAGTAGGAATGTGAGACTGGAGTAACAGCCCATCCGTACAGCTATTGGCATAGAGTAATTACTAAGGATAGTTTTAGTAGGAGGTGTGATGTACCAACGCCGCTGTGCTCCCCTTACTCTTTGTGCATCTGTGCAACGAGCGTCCCTGCAGAGCAGGAGTGTCAGGAACATGTTCAGAGCCAGAAATAAGTAACTAAATATTCCTGATTTCATATTACAAAGGAAACACAGAGTGGGACGGGGCTGGGAGGCACTCTGGCTGTTAATTCTGCATAATATTTTTGCCTTTTCAGAGGCCATCGGCAATGGGAGGGTGCCTCCTTGTTATGCCAAAGAGTATCTGGGCATCGTGGCTGGCAAAATGGGGGAGATGAACATGGAAGGAGAAAACCAGATCCTCTGGGGACTGCAGGGGGGGAGGGTGTTGTTAAGAGAGAACAGTGATTCCTGCAAGACATTTTTTTTCCCTTTTTTTTCAATAAAAAGTAAGGCAGTTTGCTGAGGGTTTGCTCCAAGATCTCTCCAGTTATCCCCGTTACAAGAGATGACTTTGCTGCCATTCGTGATCTGTCCCAACCTCCCAAGCCCCCATCCACCATCTGCAAGGCCCCAGCAGCAGGACAGGGAACAGGTTAAACCCCCCTGCGCCGAGCCTCGGGCCCTGGTTTCTCATGGTGAGCGTGTTGCCGGCCTGAGAGGGCCAGGGAGTTGCAGAATTGATGCTTCTTTTAGGCAACCTCATCCCTCTGCCCACACAGCCAGCACCACGGCTGTCCCACGGCTGTAGGCTGGGTGCAGGTGCTTGCAGAAGACAAATTTCTCTGCCTGTTTTTTGGCTGTTAGTTCAACAAGTGGTTGATGGACAGATGGGGAAGGATGCGAGCAAGGCAGGGAGGGAGGGATGGGGAATCCTGGTGGGGAGGCCACGATGATTCCGAAGAAAGGTGGGGAAAAAGCAAAGGACTTTGAAAAAGCCACGAGGGGCTGCTCTATGGCCTGGAGATTTTCATCCTGACAGATTTGGTCTAAAGCCCTCTGCCCCGTCCCCAGCTTAGCCCTCAGCCACCCGCTCCCTGGACGGGCCACAGAGGAACACGGCCCAGCTCCACGCGTTTGTCTGCTCCTACCAGCGCTCCCTTTTCCTCTTTCCATGTTTCCTTGTGGTAATCTTTTTTAAATTTTTTTTTTTAATCTTTTCTGCACAACCCCAGGTTTGCACCAGACTCCTGAGAACATTTGTTTGCCCGGCTCCGAGTCACGTTGCCCTGCGGTGTCTGACCCTTTTTGTCCGCCCAGCGCCAGGAAAACACGGAGCCCGTAAGTACGGCAGCGGCCACCAAGGCCACTGCAGGGTGAGGAGGCGTGAGGAACACCCAGGCTGTGGTTAGATACCCCACAGACCAAAACGCTTTTGGAGTATCCCAGCTTTACAACCCTTCAAGGGACGAGGAAGGCAGCTTTGCTCCAAAATACTCCGGTCCCTGAAGTCCCGATTCTCCCCTCACAGTAGGATGAAGAAATTTAGTGGTTCATGGGCGAGGCTGGTAACGGGTATCACAAACACTGCTGAACACTTGAACAAGGACTTAGATGCAGTCTTGCCTATCCGTAATCCCAACTTCCATGGAGGAAAAGCTCGTAGGAACAGAGGTGTCAGAGAACAGCTGGTAACAGCGGAAGGAAGATGGAGTGTGCTTCCCCCGAGACTTACCTAATCGGGCCCAAGGGAGACCTGTTTTTTTTTTTTCCAGTTCAAATGAAAACCGGATCAGAAGCAGTCATACTTAAAATGAACTTTTGGGGATCTGTATTCTCATTGCAGGAATTGATTTAAAAAAAAAAAAAAAAAACAAAAAAACCAAAACCACCAATATCCAAGCCATAGAATGAGTTGTTGAAATAGTCCATCAGAGGAGGTTGCTGAGGGTTTCCAGTCCAAGCAGCCTCTCAAGGTGGTGTTCTGCTCGCATGCAACACCTCTGTTTGGCCACCCCTGCAGTGAAAAGGCGTCCCTTATTTCTGAATGTCCTGCACAGCGGGGTGTCAGCTGCCTGTGCCCCCCTCCCGAGCCCCCCGGCCCCCCCGAGCCGCGCTGCCGGCCGGGCCCGTCCCCATCTCGGGGCAGGAGCCGGGGGCCGGGCCCTCGCCCCCCCCTCCCCGCGGTGCCGCTACCACAGGCCTGGCTAAAAAACCAGGGCTGAGAGCTGGGTGGGCAATCCAGAAATCAGCGGCGGTTTAGCGCAGCTTGACCAGAATATTTACATTTTATTAAATCTTTACAATCAGCAGTTATAATCAAGTACACAATTATGTACACGGATTATATACATTTTAGCCCAGACTTTTACATCACAGTACATAGTTGCCCTTAGAAATATTGTATACACTTCTCACCAGACAGTAAAACCCAACTCTAGTGTTACAGCACCTGTTATTAGACATCTTTCATAAGAAAATATACGGCTGTAAATTGGGCTGGCTAAAAAAAAAATAATCTTATAAAATCTGAACATACAATATTTCATTCACAGAATGGTTTTTCTTCCCTATGTTCTGACTGATGCCTTTTGCATAAGAGGTCTCATTTTTAACCTCTCAGCACACACTTACTCATGCCTACCCCTACGCCTTCAGGTACGCTGGCAGGAGGAGAACCAAAGCTGGGCTCACTTTGAAACTTCATTAAGAAACAACAAATGTAAACAATTAAGATTCCTCTATGATCAAATGAGAAATTAATTGGCTGATCTGAATTACATGGCATGGAATAAGTGCTAGTTCCAGCTGTGATTCCTGAACTCTTCAGTGTTCAACACCATACAAAGAAATGTACAATACTATACAAAGAAAGAGGTGATTACTGATTAATGATGTACGAGCAATATTCCACAAGGAGGGAGCAGACTTCTAAAAACCTGGGAAGAACACTTACTCCCCTCTCCAAAAGGTTTTGGGTTTTTTTGATGAATACATTCTTCTCGCTTTTAAGATGACAGTGACAGAAAATTGAATTATCTCCAGAATGATATGAAAAGGTTAAACTAACGCCTATTTCCTCATAAGGAAATACAAAGTGAAAATAACCTGAATAAAACTTCCCCCTCCAACTCAGTCCTCTTTCCCAAAAGGTCAACCTTACCCGATTCAGTTCTGTAAACAAAGCTATGGCTCTCATGATGGTTTCAAAGGTAAAGTAGAACAAACTGGAAAGGAACTAAAACAAAAACAAAAAACAACCCAAAAGGAAGGAGGCAACAGTTATCTGAGGTAGGCCACCACCAAAACGATGCTTCGAATCCATATGGAGTTCTGGGATCATTCAAAATCCCTTAAAAGGAGAGCTAATGCCTGCTGCTTTGAGCAACAGAGAAAGCAGTTAAAAATGAGCTGGTGATGGCAAGAAAAGTTAATCTTTTAATAAAATTTTACACCTACGCCTAAATTTTCTGCAAGTAAAAAAAAGAAAACCTTTAGTTGCTATATCGACAGTCTTAACATAATGACCAGAGGGTCTCTACAGCTATAAAAATAATAACTATTTCCACCAGGAGAGCTAACAAGTATGGAGATATAGTCCGTGTCCAAGAGCATGGGGACAAAAATGCTCCTTTTGTGGCACTGAGCACTGACAGATCAAAGGCCTTATCCGAGCGAAACCTTCTGGTCTGCACCTGATGGGTCTGACCCTGCGGCCGCCGCGCCCGGGCGCTGCCGGGGGAGTGCAGCCACCCGCGGGGCGGGCTGGGCTGGGCTGGGCTGCCGCGGAACGAAGGACACTTACAGGGCTCCCATCATCTAATGCCTTACATGATGGAACTCACGCAACACAAAAAAAAAAAAAAACCACACACAAAAAAAAAAAAACAAAACCCACCACAGAAACAAGAAAATTCTCAACTGAAAAAACCCCGGCTGCTTCAAGCCCGGCTCATTCAGTCCAAACCTCCATACAGTTATTTGTGCAAAGGAATTACAACTACATTTAAAAACTAATTTATTTAAAAGGACACTTATTCACTATACTGCTACGGCTTCATTTCCTCCTCGAAATTCCCTCCTACTCTAGGGATTCAAAGTTATCATTCAGTTTATGGACAATGTTCTGATTGACTGTCATGCTCTCAAAAGGTGCCTGTGCATTTTGATACTCTTGAAAGCAAGTGTCACTAAATCTACACGTATACAACATTTGCCTGGGATCTCTCCATTCACACTGTACAGGAGTATACACAAATAAATACAGTATGGCTGTACTAATTAACAGTTGCATATTCGGCACGCATAATTTCACCAGCTAAATGAAAGGTGCAATTCAGATTGGGCCTTTTTTTTTTTTTTTTTAATTCTTTCTATTGTAAAGATGAATATAAACCTTCATTTTCAGCCTGGTGCAGCATATAGGCAGTGTTAATTTACTCTTTAATACAAAACAATTCTTTGAACCACAATTCTCTAAAAGCAGTTTATATAAATCAAGTTAATTAGTTTTTGGCAGTTTCTTTGGACACAGTCAAAATGTCTCTCAGTTGTTCAAACATCCCCGTTTTTATTTAAATAATGTTTTTTTCATAACAGGGACAACAAATTAGGACTCACACTTACCTGTAACAAACTCCTGAAGCCCAGAGGAACACACCAGTCATCCTCACAGTTCAGGCCACTACGCTTCGAACTATGGACCCGACAGCCAAAACTGTTGCACTTCACTACTAGTACTGGCCTCATTGCCTTAAGTATCACACGTACAGAAGTTGCATATAAAAAGAATGACAACAAAGTCAAGCTGTTAGAAGTAGAACTTGTAGAAAAAGGAAGATTTATTTTTGTTATAGCTGATCTAGTTCTGTTTAGTGTCCTTTCAGAGAATATTGCCAGTTTCAATTCCGTATCTTGGGGTAGAATGAGTTTTTCAACCTGGAAGGCCAAACGAAATGCCTGTAACCCAACACCTGCCTCGCCCACTTCACCTTAACCTCGAGCGGGGCTTTCACAACGCACCCCGAACCTCTATCTGGCAGACCCCAAGGCTGTCGTAGTTACCCTGATGGAACCTGCTTCCAAAGTACGCGTTGCCTTTGGTTTATACAGCTTCTCTGGTTGAAAGCAGAGCAGAAGGGAAAACTCCCATGTCATCATGGTCGTTCTTCATGGCAACAGATGGAAGGAGTGATAAGCAACACTATTACTTCCCTGTAGGGTGTGTCAGGACAAAAACCAAACTGCTTCTAGCCCTGCCTTAAAGGCATGACACCTGGAAGCAATTTTACCTGCCGCTACCAGTGAAGGCTTTCAACTGGGTAGAGATGAGTGCCACCACACCCTCGCTCCACCCAGACCAGTGGCTGAGCTGCTGCCTTCCAGTGCTCCCATGGATAACCGTCCCCCGGTGCGTTAACCCCCGCCGCGCTCAGCTTCTGCCTTCCAGAGACCGAGGGGGTGGGACCTCTCAGAGCCTGGAAGGCAGAAGTCGCTCTGGGAACAAGCCTCCTGGGTTACAGCACCATGCAGTGGAGCCAGACAGATGCTTCAATTGCACGTTCCCATTTTCAAACAGGAAAAATTAAAACAATACAAAGAGCGCGTGCTGGATTTCTGTGGTAATTTCCAGGTGAAACCTGGTTGCTCGTCACAATACTGAATACGTTTTCTAGTTCCCAGATACCGGGGCCTCACTTCTACCCAAAGAGTTCTCCATTTGTTTACTAACAAATAAGTTATTATTACAAGTCATAGCTCATCCTTTTCCATCATTTCAAATGCTTCTATATCTTCATTCCAGTCTGCTAATATGGATTCCATAGGTTGGACTTTATTATCCCAGTTAACTTTGGAATTGGACTCTGTCTCAGTCTTCCGTTCCCGAGGCCGGTTATCCCCCTGCGTACACGCCGGCTCCGGAGCACTGGCCTCATCGGTTCCGGGGACGTAGGAATCCGGATTTGAAATGGAAACGCTGTCACTGGCCGCGTGAGCAGGAGGTAAAGAATCAGGGTCAGTAACATCAGAGTTTTCTCCTCCTTCGGGCTCCTCGCTGACCGCACCAACATCCTGAGATGCTGAAGTAGCTTCTTCTGCATTCTGTTTATGTGAATCATTTTCAGATAATTTCTGGTCCATATTCTCCATTTCCAGGTCTTTGAGAGGGGAGAGAAAACAAATGTTCGGAAAAAAAAACAAAAACAACTAGAAAGGCAGCATTTTATTATGCATTTCAAAAGCAAGGTCACTTCCCTTGGCCTTATTTCCTCAAGGATGTGCAGGCTTCCCATTGATATGAAAATTTAATGTTATCAAGGAACTTATTTTACAGAGGGAGGGGAGGGAAGACATTTAAACACTTTTTAAACAAGGGCAAACAATATAGTGAGGCTCGTGTTGGTTCCTCAAACTTAAATAGTGACTGCTGGGTCAGTGCTGGTTACCATCCTTCAGTGTTAAGCAAATCCCCGCTGCATGCACTGAACTTTAATACCAGATTTGGAAGCGCTCCCACACCCCCCAGGATCCCACATCCAAGCACGTGGGAGCCAAGCAGAGCTTCCTGCGTGTACTGAGCTGTGCATGAAGGAGCGCGCCAAAGCCGAGGCCTCCTTCAGCACACCCCCACACAAAGCAAGTGGGATTCGTATCTCAAGTACCCATTTAGCCTGGAACTTCACAACAGCTGTCTGACTTAACCCGGCAGATTTCTTTGGAGTTTGATGTTTGTAGCTAGTATGCAAGGCACTAGTATTTCAAGACTTCTAGAGAGTTTAACTGCATACGCCATTCTAAACGCGGGATACTTACTGCTATCAATAATGTAGTTTGGAATCATTTTACCTTTAAAGATTGTTGCTGAGATTGCAAACGGAAGCATGAGGAGGGGGGAAGAAGCAGAGACGGATTACAAATCCTCAAACGCAGAGCTATCTTTTGTATTTAGTATTTTGTTAAAGCAGCTTAACCACAGTTATAAACAGGAGGAATTTGTAAGCAGCTGTGAAGAAACGACACTGTAGCTTTCAGCTCAGTACCCTTGCAAATGTGCAGAAAATAAACGCTGTCACTGGTTTACTAGAGATACTTGTTCTTAGACACTGCTTGGACAAAGCAGTGCTAGGAGGAAGGCTCACAAAAGGCAAACCATGAATCTTCTGCCATATGCAAACATTTGAATTGGGAATGTATTAAGCTTGCAGTTTTCCTGTATTATACGAGAAAAACTGCAAAATATTTGAGGTCAGCAGCCTCATTTCTCACAGTAACCACTTCTCCTTAGATAGGCAAAATAGTTGTAACAGTTCTCTCTCTCCTTCTGGGTACCAAAAATGTCACTGGGGAGCTTGATAAGAGAGAGGCATTTACAATGTAGGGCACTGAAAATACTTACACTATTCTTGACGCTACTTCAAAGCAGATTATGACAGAAAGGGTTCAAAAGGAATCCAGAAGGCTGTATTTCCTCATTAGTCAAACTGACAGTTAACTAATGAGCAGCATTTTCTGGATGTTAACGTTAACTTGAGGGGGAAGTAGATAACGATGCACCTCAGACGATGGCTTTCTTATGAAAAAACTAATACCAATGTCAAACAGAAAACTAGAGCTACTATGTCCTGAGTCTGCACCTTTGGGTAGCAGTAGAAATCGCTACTGTACATCTCACATTGGGCCACAGCACAGATGGAAGCTAAATTTGTGTAAGTAGCCACTAATCTTACCTCTGTCTTTTGCTTTATCAGAAAGGAGCACCTCCACGGCCTCATACTCCCGGATTGCATCCAGTATAATGTTTCCTTCCTTGTTGAAGAGGAAGAGCATGGGGATTGTGATATCATCTGTGTTCTTTCCATCACCGGCCATTTGGAAGAGAGGAGCTGTGTCACTACTGCTTCCCTCATTGTCATCTAGCCAGATGCACACAAAAGGAAAAGCAAGCCAACCTCCTGTTAGATAAACAGACCGCAACTCTCACCTTTGGCAGATTTTTTCAGCGGCTTTCTACTGCCCCATCAGTCAAGAGGATCCCAGGCAGAAAATTGTAAGTTGGTTGTAAAAAGCAAAAAAGCCAACTTGCGTACTTGTTTTCCTTAACATTTTTCATTTGCATCTCAAGTCTTCCCCAGCAGTTGGTAGACAGAACTATTGCAACACCAGGTGATCCTTAAAATAACAATTTTTAATCTGCAAGACCAGTGACCATCACCCACCCCAATTTGTTTAGCTACACTTTCTGCGCAGAACCAGACAAAACCAAAACATGTCTTCATCTTCTGAAAGCACAATTTCTGTGTTGGAGTACTGTCATCTCAGAGATGCTTAACAGCTTCTTGTCAGCTCTCCAGCACCTTCAAATCTCTAAAATACAAGTTACCTCTACGCACACTTACAACTTTTGAGAACTTAAAATTTTATTTACCAATAACAATGCCTCCTATTGCTCCAGCTTTTTGAATGTTTCGTGCCTTTTCAGCAAACATACACTGGCCTCTTTGCATCAAAGCAATTTTCTCTTTCACCGCCTCAGGATTAGTGATCTCTGAGCATCCATTATATGGCTTAATGGTTGCAACAAATCCTCTTGTCTGTTTGGAAAAACAAAAGTGAAAGAGAGAATTAGGGCACTAGGTTCAAGCTTGCAAAAGATTCCTAAGCATTTAGTGTTGTCTTCTGTCAGTGCAGGCAATCTTTACTGAAGCTGGAGTTCTAAGAAGCAAAGAATAACCGAGTGAAAACCCTAATTTTCATATTCAGTATATTTTGTCTATACCTGTGAACTGTTGTCTCTGGAAAATTTTCTTCTGTGAACTGCTAGTCTGGAACTCCTCTTTGGGGCTGCATCTTGCCCAGCCGAAATCATCAGGTTATCCTACTGCTTGCAATAGGGACCACTGCCTCTGTGATATTGTCTTCTTCCATCTAGGTACAGTCTTTTATAAAAGCTTGCATAAGAACAGCCTACTCTAACTCTAAACGGGCTTCTGCAAATTCATGGCTGACATGATAGGTAAACCTTCTCTTAAATTAACATCTCTTAAGATACGCACCTCAGGATTACATAAATTTGTTTCAAAAAAATCACACTATCCATGCATTTTAAATCCTAAATCATGACTGATGACTCACGAGCGGAGCTTGGGCCACAGACCAATAAGACACTCATCTAAAAGACTGTCACTGCTGTGCCCTGTCATTTTAACCACTGTAATTAATTGATCACCCTCTAGCTGGCCACCTGAAATAGTACCAGTACTGTAAAATTTAGGCTTCAGCAATAAGTAACAGAAAGCCAGGAACAGATCACACGCACATCTTACATACCCCTGCTTTGTGTTTGGATAAGTCCATCCCAAATTGTGCTGGGCCAGCAGTCAAGACCACTCTGCCAAAGAATGGATGGGAAACAATTTGAACAGCACGAGGAGGTAGCTGTTGCTCTTTCTGTTGCTGACTGGAGAGTTCAATCATTTCCTGCATGAATCGTAAGCCATCTTCTGCATCAAGTGAACTTGCTGCCTGAGTAGTAAAGAAACGATAACGGTTCCTTCTTACATGTTTGAGAAACTTGGGGAAAAAAAAAATAATTGAAGTTATGTTTGCTTGGAACACTGCTACAGAGATTTTTAAATACAGAGTGGATGCTTGCTGGCACTCATTCATCATTTTAAATACGGAAGTTAACCTCTTAGCACCTCCACCACCCAGAAGACTAAAAGCACGCAAACATACAGACCTCCTAAGCAAATGGAAGAGTCTCACACTGAAAGCTAGTATTTGCAGATAAGATGCTGCTAGCTACACCACCTTTGACATGAACAGCCTCCATCTAATTTAATGGAAGATTAGTTAAAAGTGTCGCTGAGGCAAAACATTAATAAGCAGCTGCCTGCTAAATACAGTTGCATATCCACTTCATGTTCCAACTTCCACAGTCCGGCTGTTCTTCCTGAACCTCTAAGTGTCAAATATCATAGCTAGCAGTTTTTTACCAAAAGTTTTCAAACAAGTACTGTCAGGTCTTACTTGCACTGCATGCTGTACTAATTGTACTCTTCCATCTTTCAGATGAATCAAACTGACTCCCATCTTCTTTAGTATCTCCAAGTGCTCAGGATTACTGGCCATGAAATCTCTGGCTCTCAATGGTGGTTTTGGTCCACTTCCCAAACTCTCTTCTCTGCCAAAAGATATGAAAGATCAAAGCTTTAAAAACCAGATTATTATTGAAACATAACTCACATTACTCCTATCACCACAAGACTAGAACTCTTTGGAATAACGTTGAGTACAAGCTTCCCCACTAGAATGCAACTCCTCAGTCAAACTATCTTTTTTAAAGGTTGTCGATATTATCAATACTTTTGTAGTGCAAAAAAAAGCACATGCAGTGTTGATAACAAAACTACCATATGCTGTCCCCATTTCTAAATAGTCTGAATTATTGTAAGACTGACTAAAACCAGTTTTCCTCGCACAGCTGCTAGTCAGTTTTACTCATGAAGTATAAATATCAAAGAGGTGGTCAGAAGGATAAACTTCCTCAGCTTTAACAGACTGTCCGAAATTCTTCAAAATAGGTGAAGTTATATACTGTACTATGACTTGTTTACCATAAAGAGTTGCAGAACTGTTCGAGACTACAGCAAGTAATTTTACAACTCAGAGACACATACTTCCTGTAATACCTGGGCTACAATTCCCACTTGAAATTATGTGGCTCATTAAGCTTCTTTTGCTTTGAAAGACTTGCTAATTCCTGCTGGAAATGAAGTAAGCCTTGCTGATGATGCCAGAGAAAACAGAACTGATTTTTCCCGTAACTAGGCTATCCATTCTAGGAGGACTACAAACTCAAGCAGAACAAGCTCCAATACACCTTGTATTCCCCCTTCCATAAATAACAGACCCTCTTCCACATATTCCTACACTAACAAAAGACAGAAAATATTAATCTTACGCTCTGGAAATACCCCTGGGACAGCTCTTATCCACCACATTTTTCAAAGGTTCACGAATGCTTTGAGCAAACATGGGGTCGTTTGGGAAAAGAATCTGGGTGTTTGGACAGGTCCAGTCAAAGTTGCTGTCATCCAGCTCTGTGTACTCTGTAGTCTAAAAAGAAAGACACACATAATCTATTGAAAATGCAGGTTATGTTTGTATACAAAGAAAAGGAGCAGATAGACCTACCCTTCAGTAATCTGTGTACTCGGGACATACAGCAACTGAGTGCAGCAAACGTCCTACAACCACACAGATTCCAGGAATGAAGAATACATCACTCTTCCGTGCCACCCATTGTAATAATAGAGGGTAACCAGTGCACGGCAACCCTTTTCTAGGGATAAATACGGTATCAGCTCTAATTTGTGACTTACCAAACTTGTATCCACAGTTTCTTAGAAATTTTTCAGAGAAATGGCTAATCCTCTATTGGCGAACAGCCCGCTCATAACACAGCTAGTGCCCCTGAACTTTTATGTGCCAGACAACTAAAGGAAGTAGTTACAATTTAATTTCATATCGCCTTTATGTTGAGTGGACCAGCTGCAAGCCTTTGGTCGTTCTTGCTTCGTATTACTAAATGTCACATCTTTTCATACGAACGAAAAAGTCTCCTCCCTCAGGAGCCATACAGACTTGGAAGTCTGAATGGGCAAAGATGAACCTATATATAATTCAAACAATCTCTGTTTTCAAAAAAGATGACAGAGTTAACTTTTGCACAAATCACTGTTTTGGAACATGAAACCACGTGGAACAGGTAGAAGATTTAGAGCCATATTTAGCCTGTTCTTACTTTTGCAAATAACTGGTTGGATAACTGGCAAGTTAATTTTCTCACCTATAAATATTATTGTAGTATTTAGCTACTTGCAAAGCCTCAAACCTGTTTCCAACATATTAGCTAATTAAAAAATCTGGCATTTAAAGGGTCCCTAAAAAGAGAAAAAAAAAAAAAAAAAAAAGAAAAAGACCTAAAAGGCTATTGGTTTACTGGAATAAATACTTTAAAGTATCTGTGCTCTTAGTGTGACAAATAGTAGTCATACCACATAAGAAAGAAGGTCTTGCAAGCCCTACTGCAAGCAGCAGTGTAGTAAGACATGACCTTTCTTGTTTATGAGAGTAAATACAAACAGGATGTTGGGTTGATACTACGAACTATATCACAGACATTTTGGCTTAATAGCACTGTGCTTATACTAAAAATAATTTACACATTCCATTTTATCAATCTTTCTCCCTATCAGATAAATTCTGTAAGAGAATAACACACTCATCTTTACAGCCTTTTAGCCATTTAATTGACACCATTTTCAATGGTTCTTTCTTACTTGTATTATGCACATTAACAGCTTTGACTTAAAGACCTTAAGGAAACTGCATCTGAAGAATTTACTCTATCCTTTTTATTGGCCTTTTACTAACATTTGAGGTTCTCAGGAGAACTAGATATGGTTAAGCCACCACTTCACACAGCATCAGTTGTGGGAATCCTATCTGTCTTAAAAGTATCAACTTCTCATGTTGGGAACAGAAGTTATATAAAATGCTCCTTCAGAGAACTTCTCGCACAGTTTAAAAGTCTCCGTTTCCAAAACTCAAAGACAAAAGATGATAAATGTAAAGGAAAGCATTTCAGAGAGAGTGCAGGATCTCCACCATCAAGGAACATGAAAAACCAACCCCATGACCCATTAAATGTATTACCAGTGTTAGAAATTAAGAGCAAGTAATTAAAAATGTCACTGTCTAATACTACAGTCCATAAAACAGTGCTTTCTACTCAGTTATAAGATTTCTCCAGGACACGTGGCTTGACACACAACACGAGCATTTTCCTCTGATCCAGGCATATTGTGAAGGAAAAAAAAATCATAGTAAAGGGTAAAAATAGTCACACTAACATAAGGGAATTTAACATCCCTGATACCCTAGACACCTCTCTCTCCGCTTTCTCATGCAGTTCTTTTGCTTGCCAGTAATATTACTGCCTTAAAGATAAATTATGTCACCTTACTGAGCACAAAAACAAACAAAAAAGATGAGTATTTATGATGCTTCATGGCACAGTTGTATTACTATAGGTTATTCTGGAAGGTTAAGTAATTTATAGACCCATAAACGTTCTCACATTTACACAATAGATGCCTATTTTATGGACTAAAACAATATCCCCAAAGCTATAGCTGTATCTTGTCTAACTAACTTTGTAGCAGTCTCAAAACACCTCTCAAAATTTGCAAAGGATTCATGTAGTAAAATAAACAACTAAACCTTAGGTGTGTTGTTGCAGATGTTTTAGAAAAACTAATAGAAAATAAAGATGAAGATAAAAATACCATATTGTCTTATTTTCAAGTTTATACAGAGATGGGGAATGATTTTCAACACTGCTAACATTCCACAGCTTTTTTCCCAAGATTGGATTGGTGCAGAACCCAGCCATGGAAACATTATTCACATTCATGTGACTGGCACTGTTAATATGATGAAATAGCTCATATTAACTGAAGTGTTAAAACTGGTGTACTTCTTCAAATGATGATTTTTTTTCAGATTTTTCTTCCGTTTTCTCTCATTAAAAAAAAGGAACTGCTTCAAATCACCACTAAAATTGAGTTACATTTGAGCTGTTACTTACTGTATTTTTTTTAGAGATGGTTTGGTTTGTAGTGGAAAGCCAAAGTGGTAATAGATGAGCTTCTGTAGTGAAGATATAATCTTCAATGTCAAAAATCATGTCTTCCTTATCAGCAAACAGCAGGTAAAGATATTTAAACATCTCGGCCAGAAAGAAAGAGTCCATTCTATGGGAAAAAAAAAAGGATGCCCTGTAGGAGGATCCCCTTTTTTCTAAAATATCAGTAAAACAAGCACTCATATTGCTCCATGTCTGAATATTTCATGATTATTACTGTTGAACTTAATTCCATTAGCATTCCTTCCACTTGGAAGAAACGATGCCTGGAGGGAAATGATTCAGCCTGTTCAGTACAAAACAGCATTATAGAAAAAACCAAACTTTTTTACAAACTTCTAGATTTGAAGTATCTTTTGTTTGAAAATAATTCATCTATTGGTCTGAGACAAATAAAACATTATTAAACTAAAAATATTCTAATGTAATAAGCTATAAAACTACTGAAATAGTTCATAGACTATGATAAATGGGTAATTTAAGACTTGGTTATCAAACTGAAGACAGGCAGCTACTCTAAAGTCAGTTAATTCAATTGTATAAACAGGATAATTAGATTTTTTTTCTATAATCTTTTTGTAAAAAAAATAATAATTGCAAAAACTTTTACCTGTCTTCATGACTTCCTGTGCGAACATCCTTCATTGCAGCAAACCCACAAGGTACTCTAGCATACTTGTTCAAGTTTTCAATTAGTGTTTTTCCTACTTCTAGATAGTAAGGGTCCCCAGTAGCCTACAAAAGAAAAACAAACAAAACGCAAGCATACGCAGTTAGATTTACTGTACAATTTAGTAGCTGTCATTTTCCTAGTGCTAACTTATTGATTCCATACCATCTTGGATGCCAGTAAAGTCTAATTTATTAATAGTGCTAAACAGTCACAAGAGAGACTCCTCAGATTCTACTGCCTTACTTTTCACACATAGGCAGATAAGCACCTGGAAATGCTTAAAGAAATGCAAGGTATTTAGGCACTGCTCTTCTCCGCAAGGTACAAACAGCTTTTGCTCCTGGTCTCTAAGATCTCTTAAAGAGAGATCAGCAACACCTAAATATCCTTAAAAAATATGGGCCTTTGTCACTTCAGAGTTTTCTAATTCTAGCCATATAAAACAAAATTCCTAGGACAATTTTTGATAACCAATACTTTCAACTTGTTTACATACATAACTAGCTCCAGCAGACAAAGTAAGCTGGAGATAGGCTACTCATTCTATACCGAAATAAAACTTCAGTAAAATTCTAGATGCTAGACAAAGTGACCAACAGCCAGAGGAATGAAAGCAATCTTACCTTATACAGAAAGTAAGTGCTTTCAGCAAATTCAGGCCTTAAAGGATGCTGAGCCCAGTGAACTCTAAAATCTGTTGTGAATGCCTGAGGAAAAAAAAGACAAAGATAAATGCAAGAATGAAAACCAAACACAGGTTTATTCTGAATGCTAGCTTAACTGTATTACAACAGGTAAAGGACACAACGGTGGAGGACTGAAGGCCCGACATCTGTCTCGGGAGGCTACAAGAACCTCAGTACAGTCAGTGCATTTGAGGCCAAAACCTAAGCCACTCACTCTAGCCCACTTTGTGTGAGTGAGATTTAAGCTCGTGTCCGTGCAGGAGTGCGGACACCACCCAGCTCCTGACACGTGTGCGGCAAGTGGAGCTGCAGCACGAGGTGCCGGACGAGGGAACGTGTGCTGCAGGGCCGGGAGGGAGCAGGCAGCCTCCGATCCGCCCCACAGCCGCCCCAGCTGTGGCAAATGCTGCCTCTGCAAACCTACCTACCACTTCAGGGCACTGAGCTGTCCTTTCAGGCTGACAGGTGGGAAGCAGCTGCTTCTAACATAAGAAATACCACAGACTAGAAGACAGTTACCTAAAAATTTCCTTGTCTTAATATGCACTGGCAAAAGCCACTCCTGTGATGGCTTACATTCACTACTAGTTCACACTAGGGTTTAAACTCTTTGCTAAAGGGGATGGCATATTGGCTTAAAGAGAGCTAACTGATCTTTCAAAGTTTCCTTCCTAAGTACAAAGCACCAAAAAACAACCCAGAAAACCCCTAGGGAACCAAACCATACCACTTTGAAAGCACTCGGAAAAAAATAATTCCAGTGCTTAGAGAGCATTCTTTGGTTTCAATATCCCTATTAGGTGAATGCAATGCTGATTAAAACGTTCTCTAACAGAAATAAGCTTACACCAGATGAAAGTCAAAATTAAAACTGGAGTCGGAAGCTTTCTTATATATTCTGAGTCATCCCAGAATAAAGACACACACTTCAGCAGGCAAACAAGCTTTTCTGTGCAGAATTAACTTGCTCAAAGACTGTACTTGCAATACCTGCAGATAAGTTTGTGTGCCTGCTTTCAAGGACATTGTGTAAAATTTCTGAACATTCTCTCAGACCAATTTAGTCTTTAGTTTCCCTCCTTGGCTTAATAAATAATGACTGATCTTTAGCATTAATGCTATTACATTACTAAGCAGCTACTACTACATGTGTTTATACATGTTTTGCATTCTGAATTGAGTCAAAGTCAATTTTGAAAGGGTGAAATATAAAGCCCAAGCAATTATTAATAACAGCAGCTTCCTATTACTGTGTTAATAACAGCATAACCAAAGGAAAAATATTTCATATCCAAAACACAGTTGTCATACGTGCAGAGCTGTGGAAATGAGTCTTTGGTTTTAATAACACATATATACATGTATCTACTATTTTTTCAAATACTGCTCAAATTGAGGTGAAAATCAGTTTACACTATCAAAAAAATTACTATCTTACCTCTGGAAGAAAGTTATGCTTTTTTATAACCTGATACAGCATCTCATGAGTTTCAATAGCAGGTCTAATATCACCCTTCAACACCTAAAATTAAACAATAAAATTAACAGTAATTCACCATGCATACAAATAATATTCACAGGTAGGCACACTCACTGTGTTCATGTAAAGCTACGGACCAAATTCTGATTTTTTAACAGATCCGTACTGTAAATATTGGCCCCTTCCAGTGTAAGCCAGAGATATTCCATAAGAGCTTTTTAAACAAAACCAGTGAGCTCATTAAGTCTACTGCCTATGTAGAAAGAGGATCTCATATCATTTACAGAGAACTGTGGTGGAAATGTGATTTCGTTTGTCTTAAAGATGTAAATGACACAAACTAGAAAATTTGTCACTGGATTACTAAAAAGGCTGCTTAATTAGAGTGTTTTCATGACTAGGAGTGAAGGAAGCAAATCACATGGACATACTTTTCTTGATACTCAACACAGCCAGAAATGCATGTTAATTTGCATCATAGCAGTGAAGTGACAGGAGGAGCAAGTACAGAAATCCTCCTTCAGTATTTCTGAAAATCAGATTACTAAGCTTGACTTGTCAATTATATACCCAGTCTATTTAATTGTTTACTTGTTATTAAAATCATCTGCGCATGGGTTTTAAAGCTTACCTGCAATCCAGGGAAGAAAGCTAGCAAAGAATCCATCCAGGTCCTCGCATTGAGCATTGGTTTATGAATATGAACATCAAGAAGAAGAGGTGGTTGGCTAATGTATCTCATTATGGCATCGTAGTGCTGAGAAACATCAGAAAAATCATGAGCTTGTTATCAGTACATTTTAGAAAACAGATTTTGATCACTAAACAATGGCATTTTATTTCAACGGAAGCAGCAGTGTTACACTCGCAATCATTATTACATTTGGCAATGCACAGTAGTTTCTAGTTTTGCAAACTAAAAAGAAGTGCAGTAAATACTGAAAAGCTCCACAGTATTGCACATGCAATACACATCACTTTTTCCAAGTAATACACATACACAAAAGTATATTCAGTAGCCATGTGAAAAACAAGTAACTGTCACAGTTAAGGCACGTTTGTTTTGGCTGAATCTTTAAGCACATGCTAAGCAAAGCTGAAATTGCTTTCTCTGAACAAAAGAATTCTAAAGCAAATGCATCTGAGGAGAAGGGGAAAAGTTGTTATAAAAAAACCTAATAAAGCAGCTGGACTTGATGGCTCAGAAGAACTTTAAAACCCACTGGCTCACTCGTCTACCTGCTGACTTCCAAGCCTACACTCGCCAAGACAACTGCCTGCCTTGTCTTCTGAAGCACAGAAGGCACTATCACGAGCACAGGAGCCAGATCAGTAGGAAGCAGTTAACAGACATAACTGAGGCAAAATATAATAATGGTGGCTGTGGGTCAGGAATATGAAATAATCATTACACTTCAAGTGTTGCAACAGGCCTTTAGTTACTGAATTATTCCAAATTTAATATTGCTTATGATATAAAATCATGCTATACGATAGAAAATCATTTTATGATATCAAACACTTTTACTGGGTATTGCTGTTTTCAAAAGAAAGAATACTGTTATGAAAAAATAATGATGCTGACAAAGACGCTTAGTAATCTTATGAATTTAGTGATCTAAGTGTGCTCTTCAGCTTGTAAGCATACCCAAGGGTATACTAGGCCTTAGGATCTGCAGTGCAATGCCATATCCAGAATTTGATTTTCAGATCTTTTTTGTTGCTCCAGGACAGAAAGAAATTATACCATGGCTTGTAACAAGAGGCCCTTGCGTTGTTTTACAGAAACATTTGCAGTATTACACTCTCCAAGGTCATGTTGAAATACTGCTTTCTCCTGTACTGGAAACATGCAAAATGATCCGGAAGATTCTGATTTTCATTGGATAGGGTTAAAACAGCTGCTCAGCTGACAGGTCACCCAAGATTAACAAAAACTTGTAGTAAAAAGAGCTGGCACTAGACACATCAGAAGTCACTGAAACTCTCCTAAAGATTTCTTTATAGGCTTCTCAGGCTAACAGCTATCTGACAGTACAATTAGTCTTAGATTTGTCTTACAGAAGGCACAAACCTGAGCAAGGTATTAACTTACCGTGTTAAATCTTTCCAGGAAACTGTCATCTCCCAGCAAGACATAGGCTTTTAATAAATATTCATAATAGGAATCTATTCCTGCTCCAACTCCACTATCTAGATACAGCAGAAAATGAAAAGGTGGTTTTATTACTTTAAGCAGCTATATGGATACTTTCCCTTGGTTTCATTTCAATTTTAAAGGCTCTTCCAGTAAAAGGAAAAGCCTCCAATCACTAGAATTAAGGCAGACGGATGCAGAGCCACAATACCGCATATCTACGCTAAAGGCTTTGCAATATTGGTGCACATAATAATATGAACAGATATGCATTGAAGCCAGTTGTTCAGTTTTCTCATCTGAAACTATTTCTACCAGCTGCCATAAACAGCCAGAGTCCTATTTATATTTTTCCTATGTATTTATAGTAGAATCTCTGAAAATTTATCCCAAGGCATTCCCTTCTCAGTATTAAAGCGAATCAGAGAATACTTTCTTGGCAATGAATAGAACTAGTTTCTCTACCAAAACACCCCTTCAGAGCAAAACCAGGCTTTGTTGTAGCAGGTTTCCCCAGCACTGAAATGAGGTAACTCCATTTGCCTACCCCGTTAATATTTTTAAATAGTTTAGATAAGCGTGGTGTAGGGGAGGGGCGGTGCATCAAGATTTTTTTCTTGCCCAAAAGCAGTTGTGGTCGCTGATTCCAAGTCAGAATACCACACACCTTTGCGGACCCAGTCTCCAGTATGAATGTTAATAGTAACGCCCACTAAATTGCTGCTGCGCTGTCTCTTTTCCCAAATAAAATCAAGCGCTTTCCGTGCATATTCCTGCAACAACAAAAAATTCTTATTAAAGGAAATTAGAGAAACACAGATACTGAAGACTCTTGTTGTTTTGTCTACTGAAATTAAGATGCTAAGAAATAATCAGATGCTTCATATCTAACAATTATAGACCTCGGTATTACATGCACATAAATAGTATGATGTTCAGCCCACATTTTATACAGTCATTCAGCTGCTGATTGGAAAGAATGGTGCTCTGTTACACAACTATCTCCCAGTACGCTGTATGGTCTCAGGCAAGTCAAACATCCTTCTGCATGGGTTTCCTACTCTAAAATTGTGCATACAAACGGGACAGTGTAACCAAATTAAAATATTTCAAGAACTATAACATCCTTAGAATCAAAATCACTGAGTTTTTTCAGACATCTCAAGGTGGAGCAGCAACCCCGTGTTCATTAGTATACAGGTTATATACATTCTTTATATACACAAAATTCACTTGAACCTACCCAACAAAAAAGGCTTTAAATCACCAAACACATGCATTGGATTTTAGGGTGCAAGTTTTACCAAAACAGACAACACAGGCCCAGCTATGCTTTCATTGGGTTCCATGACATGAAATGAAATCCCAGGCCCATACTGGAAGATTTTAAAGAATTTTAATCTGAAAAAGAGCTTGCCTTGTTTTTTTTTTTTTTTTAATCAAAGAAACCATATCGGCAAGTATTTCCATTTAGCTTTCTCCTGACAGTATACCCTTGAGTAGGTCTTCTTGCACATGTTCAGTGGGACTATATGGAGATATTTTAACTTTTTACACTTTTTTAAACTGCATTTTAAGGACCACGTATCTCACTTCTCTTCTTACTAGTCCTGATTGCTCTACCCAGAAACTATTCAAGCATTATCCTATAGCTACTCTTCAGTATATTTATCTTGTTTACTTACCACTACTTCAGTTTACTTCTGTATTACTATAACTATTCCCAAACAAATTTCCTATGTTTTTCTGTTTTTTTTTTGTTTGTTTGTGGTTTTGTTTTTTTTTTTTTTTTTAACATCAAATTAATACTTAGAAAAAAAAGCCCACAAACACAACAAATCTGAACACATGCAAACTTTTTGTGCAGAACAGCTAGGATATGCAACCATTTCATGAACTCAAAATTGTTTTTCCAAAATTACAGAAACGTAACAGAATACTAGTGAATACCTAATCCAAAAAATAAAGTATCATAGCAAGCAAACCTCAAATATAGATGTTCCTGTGAATCGGCTTAAAGCTGCAAACTCAAGGATCAAGGTACCTGCACAAGCTGTACAGGTATCAGTTTCCGTTCCTGTTCGTGCTTCTGGATGTCTTACACCAAATTTTAAGTTAACCTAGAGAAAAGTAGAGATCATTATCTTTATTTTTACTGGCTGAAGGAATTTACAATTCTGTGATAGGTCTCTGTAGAGCAACTATATAATCTATGCTTTTTCTAAAGGCAAGAGGAAAAAAAGATCACCCAGCCCCCTTCAGTTTTGCTCTGCTTTACCTCATACTGGCAACTCGAACATGCACATAAAGTTATCCAGAAGTACCCAAAATACTCAACCCTCCAAAACAAGGTCTTGCCCAAATACCTGTTGCTTGGTTCAACGGACATCTGAATAAAAGACTACCACCCTGAAAATCTAATTCCAGCAATTTATTTACCAGCAAACCAGGAACTCAGACCATCACAAATGCTCATGGAAATCAAGCTTTGTAAATACCTCGCTCCCCCTGGCTCCAGAGAATACCTGCTAGATGGACCCGCTTTTCTCGTGGGCACGACATAACTTTCCGCATTCTGGAGGGGGCCCCCTCAGGAGAAGACTGTCAAACCCTGAACATTTTGAATTAGACATTTTCACTAGAAAAATGTTGACTTGCTGAGCCTAAATCTGTAATTTATGGGCAAGTTTCCAATCAAAGCCACATCTCTCAAACTCAATGGATGACATGCATGGGACTCAAAGAATATGTACCATGCTTTGTTTGAATATGACGGAAGTTTTCACATTGAGTATTTTTAGATTACATCTACACCTTTGCCCTCTTAAATGTAGACCATGTAGATTGATCAGTTTTGTGCTAAATTCACAAGGAAGTGCTTGCAAGTTGCTCTTCTACCATCTTAGTGAGAGATATGTACCAAACCAGAAATTACTTTCCTCAGCTACTTGGTGATACCTATAGTAGTAGGGAGCAAGAAATCAGTAGACAGTGATCAGATAAGATTTCTGCTGTTATTATTTACCCACAACAATGTATATTAGAATTTTCTGAGCTGCAGGGGATTCGGAGATCCTAATACTGTACTTTAAAACACTAGGTAGTATGTATGTATATAAGTGAGCACTTTAACAGCTTTTGATTTTAGGTACACTTAATAAATACACAAGTGATTTCAGAAACAGAGATTAAAACAAAACAACAAAAACGTTGCTTACAGAAGTAATCCTGAATTGCAGAAACCAGAGAACTTACTCTTGGGTAAGGGAGACCACTAGTGGTGTTAAAAGCAGGTAAAAGCTTGTAGCCTAGTTCCTTTGCCATGTGCAGAAGTTCACCACTGTACCACTGCATATATTCACCTTTTTCTTTCAGCATAATTGCCACTGAATGCCCACCTAGGAGACCTCTAAACACAAGGAAAATTATCCAGATCAGAAGATATATTCATCTGAACAGCAATGCAAAAATTTCTACAACTTAGGTGACTATGTACATAACTGTGCTATATTCACATGGCCCTAATTCAGAAATGCTGAGCAGATGCAACTCCCAATTATAATCATGATTAGCTGCCAGTATTTTGGAAGCAATTCTTACTGTTTAGGACTCAGTCCTAAACTGTAGAGGAATCACTGATTCATCAGTATAAAACTGCATAGAATAGCTTAAAACTAACCTGCTGTGATCCTGCACTGAGCAGCAAGTTGGACCAGAGACCTCCAGAGGTCCCTTCCAACCCCAAAAAAATCTATTACACTAAGTATCAAAATGTTCTATCCCTTAAATCAACTACTGGACAGTGTAATTTCCAAGACTGTTTCCATTAAGAAAAAAACACTGCTACCTCAGCATGCCTGATTTTTTAACATCAAAAGCACCATGCCTGCAGCAGTTAGACGGGGGTCAGCTTGACTCAGTACCACTGCATTGATTCCTGCCTAGCATTTTAAAACCTTCCTTAGAGCAGGTGTTGAGCTATGCTAACTGACAGAGGCACAGCTGCTTTAAATGAGGTGAAATAGCACAGAATGGTATGCCTTAAGGACATTTAGCTAAACCCCACATTTTTAAGAGTTTTTAAAACATAAAAGTTACTCACCCAAGGACTCTTATGTTGGTTTCAAAGACAGATACAACTATGTCATTATCTAAATTAACATCCTTTATTACTTTTTTTACAGCCTCTTCAAACTCTTTGGTTTTATTTAATACCTGGAACACAAAAGTAACCAGGTGTTTAGGTTAGCCGTACAGCCACGTTCACATGTAGAAGAACAAGTGCAAGGAATTAAAAAAAGAAAGCATTTAAACATGCCTTAGACTGATATTCTGGTCCTGCAGGAGCATACTCTGATACAGTGCAAACAGACATTATTGTTTTTCTCAGGAGATACATGAAAGAGATAAAAGCTGTACACAAAGAATAAGGTCACTGAGAACACAGCTGAACGACTACCCAGGGATGTGTGTGTGTTCCTTCCCCAGCCCGCAGGCCGTGAGCGCAGCGCAGCAGGACGCAGTGGGCTGCAGGCTGTGCTGGCAGAGCGGGCACAGACCGGCCCACGCCAGTGTCACGGGAGCCTCCTCCTACCCACGGACTAAGGAGCCACAGCCCAAGTTTGGCAAATCGTCCTAGCAGCCTTCCTCCTCCCAAGAGTTTGCTCCGGCACTTCCTACAGATTTTCTTTCACACTGACCTCCTTTTAGTTCTATTGATCTTTAAGAATCTTTGTGACTTATCCAATTCATTATCGTAAGTGCCTTTAAATTCTGCAAGTATCAATCCTGCTCTAAGACAAGAAAACAATAAACCAGCCACAATAATTCGAGTGTCTGGTAGAGACCAGGAGTTCCAGACTCCACATTTTCAACATTTGTGGTCCCAATTCAAAAGAGCTAAGGGTCATCTCACAGCACATCGTAAAAAGGGAACGGCTCTCCGAGAAAGAGCACGATATGATTCACACACCAAACCAGTGCAGTAAGGATTTTCAAAACTTTTTAGATTTACCTGTAGATGTAAATGGCCAAAAACTCCTGATTTCTGAACTCTTAACTTACGATAACAAAATATGACAAAGGGATTGAAATCTAACAAAGAATAATTTATTAATGATTGGCATCTTTTATTAAGAGACGGAACATAACAAGTTTGGTAGCATTTTCTGGCAAACATGTCCAAGGTTACATTTTTAAACGTATATGTAAATGCACACACACTCATTCATGAAACATGTACCTACAATTTAAAAACATAAATAATTCAGTAGGTATTAAGAGGTGTTCACCCATAAGTCAGCATGTTGCTCTAGACCATAATGGGAAGCACTCTCACATACTTTTTTGTTAAGCTAGAGCCTGAGGAAAGCAAGGTAAGAAAGCATCAATGAAATGCGAAGGAACTGTTAGTTTTCTTTTTGCAACAAACTCCAAGCACCACTATCACAGCAGCTGGAAGTTCTTTACAAGCAATAGCTGCTTCAAACAGACACCCAGAGATCAAAGGTGAAGAACAACTGGTATTTTTTTATGTACACTTTAACAAAATAGCAGTCTGAAAATAAGCCTGAGAATCAGGAGACAATCTTTTTGTTTTATCAAAGTTAATCAATAAATTAAACTTACCACAAGAGTGTCCAAGGTATCAATCAAGGTCAGTGAAAATCTGTGAAACAAAATTTAAAACAGATTTACTATAGACCCGTATGTGTAGAAATGAAATAATTTTTAATAGTAACCAATACCATGGAAGAAACTAAGTTCTCACAGTCAAATAGTCACTAAAAAATTAATTGTACATGAGATGCTTAATATCAAAATACCCGACTAAGTTTCTTCTCTTTGTTAGTGACCAGAATAGGAGCTGACTGAAACAAGCTATGATTGTAAGATACCTTCATTTACTTCAAAGCTTTCAAACTTCTTGTAAGCCTATTAAATTTTTATTTCTAATCTCTAATCAAATCTACTGAGAGACCCAGTGTTTGGTTCAAAGTCTTTTTCCAACCTCATTTTTTCCTTCTTTTTCAAAAAAATGAAGAATGTTGACCTATGAAGTGTAATAATAAAAAGATTCAGGAAGTTCAAAAATCATTCTAAGCTAAATTTCTCCTACCAGAAACTGTTCCAATTACCTACTTCAGAAAAATCTGCAATTTGTTGCAAAGTCAGTGTTAAAATTAGTAGTGAAAGACTAAAGAAAATGCTGTTGTTTTATTATGAAACTCCTATGTGGGATATAACGGAACAGGAAAAGGTACAATAAAGGGCAGTAAGGGGGGGCTGAAGGCACGCAGCAGCTTCCGCGCGAGGAGCAAGGGAACAGACTAGCACGCCTCAGCCTGCGAAAACAAAAGCTTAAGTGCCATTACACGGAGATTTTCAAATTGTAGATGGCAGGCATGAAGAAAGTGAATGAGAATCTGCTATTTACTGTTTCTCACAGGAAGTTTCACCGGGAGCCATCCAGCACTAGCAAGAGGCAGGCTTAAAGTAAAGAACTACTTGCTCCACGGAAAGAGAACATTGAATCAGATCCATACTGTTTGAAACAGGAACATCACAATAAGGCTTGTCCCGTTCATATATGCTTCTCTAGGCTGTTCTAGTGCACACACAGCGGAGTGGACTGTTAGCCTAAGTCAGTAAAATTGCTCTTATGTTAAGAAACACAAACCACGCACAGAACAGAATTTACAGAATAGGATGTTATTAAAATTGAAAACTTTGGCAACAGTTAAAACTGCCAGTTGAAGAAGGAGCATCAAGAATTTAAGCAAGTACCTAATGTTTGAGACCCGGTAGGCAACACAGGACTATGAATGGAACGTAATTAAAATTCTAAGTAAGTGGTCATGTATTATAATTTTCTTTAATTTGTAAAGATATAAGGGCATTCTGTGAGTGCTGTTCTACAAGAGATTAACTAGTGACCATGCACAACTGCATAACAAATACACAACTTTTTCCACACAAACACGGGGGAGATTATGCATTGCACAGCTAGAGAGAAGGCTGGTGTGCAAGTATACTCCCCAGACCTCCAGGGAAACAGAACTGACCTAGCTGTCTCACCCTGCCATTTTGTGTTTGCAAAGACTTGTGGAGAACATGACTGATGAGCCAGCTGGCAAGAAAAATGATTATATAAGAAATTTGATAAATAGTAATATGGCTAATTATTAGAAACAGAAAAAAAACATGTCTACAGAAAAATAATATATAGTTACGCTATTCAATGTGCCTAAGGGGCTGAAAGGTATTTTTACTCCAATGATAGTATGTTACTATGTAACAGAAGGTCATTAAAAAGAATCCATGACCAGGACTAAAAATACATTTTCTTTACACTTCTTTCTCATCAGTCCTATCCCTCACTACCTACAATGCAACGGGCTCATATAGTAACCTCTAGACTAAGGAACTTCTGTATGTAACAAAAAATAATCAGAATGTCATGCTCAATATCAGAGTGTGAATTATTAGTAGTATTTAAGGCAAGGACTTCAGCTTTGATTAATACTATTCTGCTTAGGGACACTAAGCAGTGATACTAATGTAAAAAAGCATCAGCTAATTGTTATTAAGTATTTGCTCTATAAACATAAACTGCACACATACAGACAACAAAGAAATCAATTACGAACACATTTAGAGTAAGTCAATTTTGTCTTTGCTCAGTTTAACATGGAGAAAAACAGTCCTTAAACCTACATTTTTCTGGATCAGTACTTTGTATTATAAGCTATCTTAAAGTAAAAATATGAAGAATTTTTATGTCTGAAATAATGGTTTATAATCTGGCAAAGGCCTCAGGCTACCACACACATGATAATCATTTGACTAATTATGTTTTCAGAAAGCTTTCTTCTAAAAAAAAAAAAAGCATTTTAAATATCACTTATAAGGCCAGCATAATGGGTAACAGTTTACTGTTCCATGCAGCTGACAATTAACCCTTATAACCTCTACTGAGCAGTGAAATGTACTAATACCATAAATGTCAGCTCACATTTGGAAGACTTGACTATGGAAAATAGTTGGAGAATGATTTAAAAAAGTTATCTTTGGGTCTTATTCACTGGTCAATTCTCTTTTTCTGATTAAGGTACAATTTCACACCAGTTAACACCATGGGAGGAAATAATAAAAGCAAGTATTTCTCAGAAACGTAAGTTTCTGGACATGTCAACTGAACAAGTTTTATGGGCTGCAAATTGTACTTAGATTCCTAGACATTTACATGAGAGAGTAACCATTTCAAACACTAACTTTCCCAAGGCATCGTCCACATCCCCTCGACTTGGTTCCTGACCCCGTACTCGTCCACGACAAGTTAAAGGCATGAGTTCATCAGCTGGATACGCGTGCTCCTGGAGGGAAACAAAACGAGGGAATGAGTTACAACTGTTACAGCTGTTTCAGCAACTCTTTGGAGCCTAGTAAAAGGAAGGCCAATTACTCTGTATTTCAGAAAAACTGCATGACAATCCCAGAACCTTTGAGGTGGGAAGGGACCTCTGGAAGTCACCTTGTCCAACCCCTCTCCTCAAGCAGGGCCATGTAGACCCAGGTGCCCAGGACTGTGTGCAGACAGTTTTTGCACGTCTCCAAGGACAGAGACTCCGCAACCTCTCTGGGCAACCTGTGCCAGTGCTCTGTCTCCTTCACAGTAAAAAAGTGTTTCTCGATGTTCAGAGGGAACCTCCTGTGTTTCAGTTTGGACCTGTTGCCTCCGGTCCTGGCACTGGTAAGATGCCCCTGAGCCTTCTCTTCCCCACGCTGGCAGTCCCAGCTCTCAGCCTTTCCCCACAGGAAAGATGCTCCAAGTCTCTCCATCAACTTTAAGGCCCTTCATCGGATTCTGTCCAGGATGCCTGTATCTCTCACGTACTGGGGAGGCCAGAACTGAGCGCAGCACTCCAGGAGTGGCCCCACCAGTGCTGAGCAGAGAGGAAGGGTTCCTTCCCTCGACCTGCTGGCAGTGTTTTGCCTAACGCAGCCCAGGCCACCGCCAGCTGCCTTTGCTGCAAGGGCACATTGCTGGCTCGTGGTCAGCTTGGTGTCCACCAGGACCCCCGAGGCCTTTTCTGCTGAGCAGCTTTCCAGCTGGGTGGCGGGAAATGATTAAACTGTGAACAGAGTAACAGGACTTCTTTCTCTATAACTTCCCAGAGAAGTCCAGAACATCTAATGGCAGATCCAAAAAAAAAAAAATCCCACCAGTTAACTTGAATAGTTAATTGTGTGCATCCTGCAACAAGGTGCACATGACACTTCCTATAATGTTTCTTAGGCAGAAGTTATCTCAAAGATGAGTTTAAAACCTAAAACTAATGCAGGCATTATCAAGTGGCTGGTATTTCATGGAGAAATTAGTGGGAATTATTCTTTAAAGTCACTTTGGAAACATTTCCAAGTGAACATAAGTGACTCAGCATCACAATCAGTGAGAGATAAGAGAACTCACTTAGAAGGTAAAATAATAAATTGGTTAATCATGACACAAGGCATAACAAAAGATAACATTCACAAAAAAAGCTTATCAAGACTGCACCTTTTACAAATCTAACATTCTTTTTTTCTTAGAGAGACACATTGCTAGATTTTTTTGGAAAAGCAACAGTTACTTTCCATATTTCTATAAAAAGCACTCTGCAAAGCAAGCTGTATTGTAATATTATTCCTCGTCAGTCAGTCAGAAAAAAACAGGAGTGACACCATTGCCTAAGTCAAGCACACTGAATAAAACGCCCGTTCCCATTGCCTCTCAAGTCAATGAAAGTTTTGTAAGTTTCAACTACCATCAAAATGGGCTATCAAATAAGATGGACACAAATTTGAAATTCATCATTGTGCAATAGGAGAGGGTTAGTGAAAAATTTTCAGAGTGGCCACTGACATTAAAAAAGATGAATCTTAAATATAACTAATTTCAACAAACATCATGGAATTGCCTCTCCATTAGAAGACAAATACAAGTGTTTTGAGATGGAGCTTTTCTCGATTTCATCAGGACACTGGCTGCTGTACATTGCTCTCAGAGAGCTAACATGTGGCAAGATAAAAAAAGTTCTATTACTGCACTGAAACTGCAAGTAAATACATTCAAAGTCTTTGCAAATATATGGTACAAAACAAAATATATTCAAACATGAAATAGAGGAAAAGAAGGAACGTTCTTCTATAAACAAACAGCTCTTACAGCAACTTCTTTTGAAACTGATGGTTTGTTTCCCTGTCTACCACACTCCAAAGTGTTTTAGTCTTTGCACGACTCTTTGTTCTCCTCAAGTTCAACTACAAAGCCAGAATCTAGCTCACTTTAATATGGCTCAGATGTTTCTGAATATCTGTGCAAAGTATTCAGAAAAACTGATTAAAGTACTACACAACAAAAGCAATGTCAAAACTAAGATCTCTGGTTTGAATTATGGAGAAAAAAGGTGATACAAATTCTGGAGAAAGTGGACTTTGAGTCTTACAAAATCATAAGGAATTAGAAGCATTCTGAAAAATAAAAGTTCACTTATTCTCTGTCTAGAGCAAGAAAGGCTACTGGGTCAAGTGATTTCCCAACTTGTAACTTCTCCCCTTTCAAGTAACCTCAAAGGAAGGTAGGAAGACCCATTAAATATAAAACACGGCACAAATGTTACAATAAGTATACTTTTGGAAAATATACAAATGGAGCTCAACAGATACTCTAATTTCTACACATTCTGACCGAACAGAAGACCATATTGCCTAATGTCAGGACTGTAAATTCAGGACAGCACACTACAGTACTTGAATAATGAAAAAAGACATATTGCTACTAGTGCTGTAAACCAAGAAATACCTACTGGCCTCAAATGACTGACATTTTCACATATTCTTTCTGACAGTAAAGAAGAAAAAAAAAGTCGCTTATTACAAATACTGCTGAAGAACTGAAAAAAAAACAGCAGCTTTTTTACTCAATGCTCCTATTAACAATCGGAAAAAAAAAAGACCAGGGAGTTTCCACCTTGCATGCAAACATGAATTTTCAGTCTTCCAAATATGCAAGGCTAAAACGCGTATTAATAGAAACAGAAAATCAAAACTTTTCAGCTGTCTGTTTCAAAAGCAGCTGCAAAAATACTTCTCTTGCTGTCAGCACCCAGTCTGATACCCATATCTTCTCCTCAACTTTAAACAAACAAGTCATGTTTCTGTTTGTTTAGTGCTCGAGCATACGTGGCAAGTAAATATCCTTTTGGCTTCAAAGTTTCCAGGATAGCTGAAGTCATTCTTCTGAAGCAAGAAAATTCTGGATGAAAGAGATGTAGCAAGACACCTACCAGTTTCCCATTTATCACACAATGAACAGTAGGAACACAGATGCTTTCTACCACCATATAACATTTTATCCAATTTTGACAAATATGTAACAGTTTTTACTTCAGAATGCCATGGGAAACCTAAGCTAAGTGTTTTTCATGGAACCAGGTCCTAAATAACCAGCTACAAATTATCACCAAAAAGCATGATGGTTGTTAAACTGCCAAGTCCATCAAAAGCAAGAGCTAACGTTAAAAACTACATCACTTTGAAAATACTCTTGCTTGGCTTTCTATCCATTCTAGAGTTCTATAACTCTTGTGTACTGTATAAACTACTAACTCACAAGCCTTTAAGCTTGTATTGCATATTAAAGTGTTAAACCATAATACAGAAACTGGGACATGTGGCAAGATACTGTCAAGAGACAGCAGTTTGTCCTCCAGGAACTGGTGCAACTTGAGAGGGATTTCTGCAACAGCCACAATGAATGTACAAAAAAGACTGCTGATGTGAACTCAGTAAGAATGCATCTTTCATATTTATCTCACATTTACAGTTTCTCCTCAGAAGTTTATTACTAATAGCATATTATCACTTGAGGAAAGTCAGTCCATGCTAAGTAATAATTTATTCTTAAGCATATCTCAACTAAGCTAATGTATTTCAAAGTTGATTGGAGTACAGAACGGCTCACATATCCGGAACATGAATACACCTGCACAGAAGATCACAAGCCATACCACAAGAAACAATAGTGAGTGTGGCTCACCGTCATATGACAGTCACATACTCAGAAGAGGCTACAATGCATAGATATGACACCAGGTCCCCTTTTTGTTCTACTCTGTTCTACAAACTCTTTGCCTATGAAGGAGCTACCAAACTGCATCTAACATATCTTATCACAGAAGACACATTGCACGTAATTTGAACCTACAAAATAAGTAAGATCAATTTGTATTCTCCAGAATCTGATGACTACAGACAGCTCTTCTTGAGCTTCATTTTCCTAGCATTTTTAAGAGTCTGGAATTTCAAACCAAATACTTTACCAAAACCAAAACCTGTTCATAGCTTGATGCGAGATAAACTGGTTTGAGAAAGATAAGGCACAGAGTAAGAGAGTTACTGCTAGCAATTCCTAGCTACCATTCTGAAAGTTATCATAACCCTCCTGACGCTGCTCTTCCTGAAAGTAATACTTGTTCATTTCTTTTTAAAGGTTATACAGGTGCTCTTAGTTATTTTAGCTTTGTTTTCACTCCTACTTCCCTACTATTTCTCTAGAATGTCATGTACTGTAGGATGCTTTGTTTTTCTCTACCAAGTCAGCAATAACAATTCTGAAAAAAATAAACAAGTATTTTACTTACCATATAATTGCTATATGCATGATCAAACATTTCAAGCACTTGGTTTCTGAAAAAGAAAAAAGGAAAAGCGTCAGTGGTCTGCCTCACAACAGCCTTTAACACACCATCTTAGAACAGCAAGATGCGTTACACTTTATCTGAATATCAGTAACAGTTCCTCTACTAACATACTCTACTCAAGTAAATGAAGTACAGCATAATAATTTTTCCTAATTTGGCTACTTTCATTCACTGAAGAAAAAAAAGACTATTTCTTCACCTAACATGAAATTAAGTATATGGGGATGTCCTGTGCTTCCCTTTAAGTAGCTGTAGATGTCACCAACACATTAAAGCTAGAGATGGGACACATTCCTTGCTCTGCAAAAACCAGCAAATAGAATTATGTTTTGATTGCAATCACCAATACTAAAGCCAACTGACACAGCATAAATTCCTGTCCATGATTCAGAAAAGGAAAATAAGTTATGAGGTATACCACTTCCTTGCACTAGAAGTCTTGGCAAGCAAACGCTAAAGAAAACCCTTGTAGATACATTTATTTTACGTGTTTGAAAACCTGTCAAGGTGAGAAACAGTACTACATAAAAAAGCACTGTTGTTTGAGAGACAGCACTACTTCCAATTTGTCCTAACTGTTTTACTGAGGAGCCCTGCGAGGCAAAAGAGCATGCCAATTTCTAAGCTGCTATAAACATAATTCACAACTCTGCTGATAAGACCGAATACAAAAGAGACAAGAACACCACAATTATATTCTAAATATCCAATTTAGTTCAAAGACTTAGAAATGTAAGAAGTAGTTTTAACTCATCAAATGGATTAAGTCATCAAAAGAGTAGAATATGATGCTTTTTTTCAGGTACTTCCCAGACTACATCCAGTCTGCAGTTCTGGGATCCACTGGAGCTGACAAAACCGCAGTTTGGCACACAGGTGCTATGCCCAGATAAACTAAGCATACAATGCTGTTCAGTGATGTGGCATGCAGAAAATTTCTTCAAACTTTTATTTGTTTACGTGGAACTTATATTCACAGGGCATTTTCTGAAAGAATTTCTGTGACTGACATGATCTTGTCATTAAATAAATACACAGATTACCTGCTGTTATTCAGAAATGACCCGGCTCGGGGCCCTCAAATACAAACCATGGCAAGCCATTACTTGCAGATGTCTGGGGCATCAAGTGAAACAGCGAGTGCAAGTAACGAAAGCAAAAATTTTAAAATCAATTGGTGAGTGAAATTTAAACTCCTTATATAGTCACAAAACATTATACACACAAAATACCCTGAGAACCAAGGATGGAAAATCCCAGTAATTGTGAACACTATCAGAGTTAAATACCAACTTACATGTAATGATTAATAACCATGAGAGTATCCAGACAGTTTCTCCCACAGACTCTTTGCAGCATTATTCTGTGCAACTGATCAGTAGATGGGAAGAGGACGATGATGAAACTGCCCCAATAATATGCTTGATTCCATATTTGTCTAAAAAAATCCTAGTCCACACAGTGCAATGGATTGACACCTATACTGTAATCTTTATCCTTCAACTAAAAACTGTACTGAATCAGCTTCTTACATACACACGCACGGTGGACAGGAGTAGTTTACTCCGTATACGCTACATAGGCAAGAACACACGTAAACATTTACCTTTTTTACTCCCAAGCACTCCCGTGTTCCAGAGGCACGGCCATAATTAGACCAACCGACTACGGATTTAGATTTACCTTTGATCACTTTTACCCATAATTACACGCAACCGCTGGCTGCAGACTCCAAGCCTGGCTCTCCCAAGCGTGTGGCAGAAGGGTTTGACCCCACACGCAGCAGAGGTGATAAAACAACCCCAGATAGCCACGGTGACCTGAGCCGAAGCACCAGCCCGGCTCCGGCATACACACCTCACACGCTGATGGGAGGCGTCTCGTAGAGACTTTAAAGGGGAAAGGGAGGAACAGGAGAGACATTCCCGGGGCTCTGCCGGGCGAGGGGCACACCCGCAGCCGGCAGGCCCAAGCCAGCCCCCGGGGGTAGCGCGGATCCCCCCCCCGCCCCAGGGCCCGGGGAGAGGACACCGGGGCACCGCAAAGCCACGGAGGACGGTGGGCTCGGCTCGGCCCGGGCCCCGACAGCCCCCCCCCCTCTCCCCGCCTTCCTCAGCCCGGCCCGCCGCGGCAGCGCTCACCCCAACCGCCGCTTTTCCTCCTTGCTCATGGCCCCAGCGCCCGGGGCGGCCGCCAGCACGGAGGAGGCGGAGAGCAGGCCAAGGGCCAGGAGCTTCCACGGCCTCCTCCAGCGGGGCCCCCAGCCGCCGCCGCCCTGGCAGCCCGCAGCTCCGCTCATGGCCGCGGCCGCCTGCCCGCTGCCGCTAGGCCCGGCGCCGGCCCATCTCTCCCCGCTGCCCGCCCCTCACGGCGCGGCGGCCGCGGTCCCAGCGCCGGCGGAAGGGACTGGGACGGGACTGGGGCGGGCCCGGCCCTCCGCTCCCCTCTGGCGTAGCCAAGGAAACCGCCTGCGCTCCAGCCGCTTCCGGGTCCCCCCTGCCCCGCCCCGCCCTGCCGCCGGGCCGGGCCAATGGGAGCAGCGCGGGGGAGGGGCGAGCAGGACACGTGACGGCGGCGGCGGCGGCGAGGGCGACGTGGACAAAAAAAAAAAAAAAAAAAAAAAAAAAACGCGGGGCGGGAGCGGCGCGTGCCGCTTGAGGGGAGGCGCCGCGGCCTGGTGCTGCCGCCCCGCTGTCCGCTCCCCGCTCCCCGCTCCCTTCTCCCCTCTCCCTGCTCCCCTCTCTCTTCTCCCCTCTCGGCGCCCAGGGCAAGCGGCTCCTTCGTTCGCCGCCCTCGCCCCGGCAGCCGCTTGAAGCGCCTATTTTTTTTTAGTACAATTCCCGCCCCCCCCCCCCCAGTTAAGTTACCACGCACGCACACAAACCCAGCCGCCCAGCGATGGGAAGGGATGAGAAGAGCTGTTTTTATTTCCGCGACAAGCGGTTCTTACAAAGTTAGAAGCAGGATACAACGTGATTTCACAGCCACTCCTTCCTCACTGGCGGCCCCGTGCAGCCCCACGGCGGTAACTGGCCGCCGCTCACGGCACCGCGCTCCCAACCCTCCAGGTGGTGAAACGTGATTTATTATTCTTCCGAGTTTACAAGCAAAATAATTCACTCCAGGTATGCGTGGGAGGTTCCAAGAACGTGACAAAAATTACTGCATGGGTGGATGATTATAATTTTTGATCAGTGGTCCATCGTGCAGATTGCTGACCTCTAAATTGCTGTCACCTCTACCCAGGTCTGGCTGAAGACAAGAAAAATGCTACTCTCCATCCATTTGCAAACATTTGAATGTACAGAAAATGTCCACAAAGGCAAAAAAATAAGTCCCCAAGCCATGAGGAGCTTCAATTTAAATTGCAGAACAAGACCGTGCGCAGGCTAAATCTTCCCTGTTCTTTCCCACCCCACTTGTGAAAAAGACACTGAGCATCTGTACTCAACAGCTCAATTCTTTAATATTACAGGAAAATATTACCAAGATGTAAGCCTGCCATAGAAATAACTCAAAAATGACTATGATGGGAATGCTTACGCTAAATACTTTCTGTACAGATGTATCTAATTCGTATTTGCCGTAAACAGCTTTTGTAGGAGACAGCAGCCTTTCACTGTCTTGCTAGTCCTTTTGTACAAAGCATCGTACTAAAAAAAAACGTCAAGTCCCCTAATTTTAGCACAGCTAAAAGAGGCTGCTGCTTAACTGTGAAGCACGTTATAAATTTGAAGTCACTTAACATTCAGTACCAATTAGAAATAGCTAATGGTTTGTAAAAACAAGGTAGGTGACAGTGAAATAAGTAATGATTTGTAAAAAAAATCGGCTGACAGTGGTTTCTGTCTTTACAAATTAGTATTTTTGCATGAAATATAAGGAGAAAAGGAGTCAAAGTACTTTTGCAAGGAAAACATCTGTGACCTTAATGTTTCCATACCACAGTATGGCTTCTGGAATAAATAGGAGTTGTGTTTATTTTACAATAGTGACGTTGCAGTTGGTCCAGTTATTCAACAGCGTTCCTTACTTCTGCAGTAATATGTGCCTATTCCTCTAGTGTCAATTCTCTGTTAGTATTATGGCATATTTTGTTAGCATTAAATAATAACTCTTTGCACAGTTCGTTGAAGTTAAATGCCAACAAGTACTATGCTCTCGGGACTTTGTTATTTCTTCCCATATCTTTATGGCCGTATATCCTGTAGTTCTTACTGTAGTCATCATTAATCTTTGCTGTCCTGTACTGTGTTATATTTATTCAGAAACCGTCTGAAACACCAGGGCAAGTTTTTAAGGTGCCTTAAACTGACCTCTAAAGTGAGGTCTTGAACTCTAAAGCCCACTTTATTAAAATACTGGTTTTAATTTCCAAACTTTTCTGTGCACAGTCTGTAAATTGTGCATGCAAATACCACATATAAGCAAGTTTGTGCATAGATCGTGATTCGATACGGAAGATAATATGACAGCTATTAAAGCAGTAGGTCTCATTTTAATAACTGCTTTTCAAATGTGATTCTGCCCTCCAAAATCTAAGCACAGCTGAATAACCTTCAGCTACTTTTTGCTTCAGTTAACTGCTGTATTAGAAATTATATGCAATGATTATGCTATTTCACAATTATTGCTATTTATTACGTGATTTCTGCACCTAAAAAGGCCTACAGAACTGGGTAACTCAGTAAGAATGGGAATGGCAGAACTCTTAATATTCTGTATTAGATAGGCGTAAGTGAATATATTTTATGGTGGGAAGTAAAACAGAAGGATGCTGCCTAATGGTTATAGTCATTGTAAACATTCTCATATTTCCCTTCCATAAAATAAAACAAAATAAAATAGGTGTAAAGTGCTCTGGAAGGCTAAATAACCCAGAAGTGCAGAGTGGGACTGAGAAACCTGCTCCCATATTTTCCCCGTTTTAAATATAGCAATAAGAGAGAAAAAAAAAAAAATCAAAACACTTGCTTGTCTTTAATATCTGTCAAAACTTTAAAATAATTAAGTAACGAGTTTGCTAAGTTTGCATAGAGCGTGGTTTTTGAGCAACCTACTAAATTAACTATTTGGTTCTGTTTACTAAAAGTTTTATTTATGTCCTGTATACTGCATGCAAATACTAAAAGCATCCTCAAATAGCAATGTATGTACCAGCCACCTAAGAATCATAGGAGTACTTGTCAAATCCATGCATTTAAAAATCACGAGCTGCTCCCCTGCTAAAACACCTAAGAACAGTTAAGTTGTTAAAATAACTTCATAGTTGGGGGTGAGTTGCTTTTGAAGCATTTAGTGGTCACATTTTCAGACTTTTTCTATAACCATAAAAGGTAGCAAATGTTAAGTGAAAGATGAGGTTCCCCAACAGTAACCTGGTTTTAAACAGTGTGGGCTGTAACCAATAAGAAACTATCACCCATCACTCAGGAAGGGATCCGTGCTAAAACTGCAAGGGCTGGTAATACCACAACAAAGCCCATTTCCTCTAGCCCCGACCCAAGCAAGTATTCACAATTCAACAGGGATTACTGGAGTAAATAAATCCTGCAGGGCCGGGATGAAAAACGCTTCTTACTTTCCAGAGTTTTGCTGTGCATAACCATCTTCTCTGTCTTCTTCTGTGAAAATACCTTTTGCTTCTGTGCTTTTTATTTCCGTGTGTGAAGATGATTCATGTTCTGGCTTCCCTTCAGCCTCCTCAGCCTCTGTATCTCCCGTGACCTCTACAGTGCTAACCTCACCCTGCTCTGGCACCAAGGAAACTGGCACGTCTCGCAGTCCTGTGCTTGGGTTTTCTGTATCCAAAACGGGCACCTGCATTGTGTCTGCGCTTGCAGCAGGATTACAAAAAGAGCTCTCGGCCCCTACCTCCACTGGAATGGCATGGCTATTCTCTGCTCCTCCTTCCTTCCCAGCGAATCTTTTGCCTTCAGACACGTATTCAATGTGTTCCTCTGGCTGCAAGCTATCACTTTTGCAGCTTCCCACACCCGTGTACCAAACGCTTTGCTTGATCTCCCCCTCTGCCTCCTGAGGCACATCTGAACTTTCCACCAGCCATTCAGCTTGTGCCATACTGCAGCCCCCCTCGGACACGTTCACCAAATTCGTACCATCTGTCCCCCAACTTGATGAAGATGGTTGGTCCTCCTTGAACTCTGCACATTCTGCGGCATGTTCATTCATCGTCGTCTGGCTCACTTGAATTTCTGCTGCAGCTGTTTTGCTCATCTCGTTGTTCTCTTTACTGCGCTCCTGTAACTTTAATATCTCATCTTCACAAATCTCCTTTATGTTCTCAGCTGCAGTATCTGCTGGTATCTCAACCGTTACCATCAGCAAACTCCTTATCTCATTCACATCGTCAGGGGATTTACAACTCTTTTCTTCTGACTTGCTTTCTTTTTCAGGATTATCCCCAAACGTTCCTTTCCCTCTGGTTTCATCCTGGGAAGTAATCTTTGTCTCAGTACTCGCTCCTTGGTCATTGCCTTCTTTTTTACTATCCTCTTCAAACCCTGTTCCTACTGCATTTCCACTCTGAGATAATTTTTCCATAATTTCTTCTTCTACTTTGATTTTCTTTTCAGTATTTCCTAAAATCTCTGCTTCTGCTACACTATCATGTGGGGAAGTCGGCTTTATCTCAGCAACCTTTTCTTCTGCTTTGCTTTCTTTTTCAGTGCCACCAACAAATGCAGCAGCCGTTGCCATTTGACTCTCAGAAGTTACCTTCTCCTCCACTGCTCCTACATGTACCTTAAGTTCTTTTTTAGGACTGGCTCCAAAATCTTTCACTGCAGTTTCAGTCCCATGAACTGCTTTTTCCTCTACAGCTTCCTGTTGTGTCTTAAGCTCCTTCTCAGTGTTCGCTACAAACTCTACTTTCCCTGTGTCTTCATTCTCCAAACCACTTTTTTCCTCTGCAACTTCTTCTTTTGTAAGGGTAGCTGGAAGGGTCTCCTGGTTTTTACCGATGTCTGTAATGACCACTTGTTCACTTCTGCTTGCCTGATCACCAGCCACAGTAACAGAAGCGATGGCCTCTTTGTCTGATGACTTTCTGTCATCAGCATATTTCTCCCAAGAGATTTTTTCCGTCACAATGAGCGTTTCATCACTTTGAGTTTCAGTGTCTGACGTCTCAGCTCGGGCAGTGGAAGGCTTCTTCGCAGGAGTGGTTTGTGCTGATCCTGAAGGGGTCTTCAGGTCTGTTAAGCTGGACACGCTTTCACAGGGCAAATTCAAGTTATCTTCAAAGAGGTTGTGCTTCTTCATAATGGCAGCTTCTTTTATCACTAAAATGAAACAGAAAGATCAGACTTTTGGAAAGACTGACAGACACACCTTGAAGAAGGTACACCATTTTCCCCAGGATTCTGATGTCATACATGTTAATATTACAGACAACAGTGATTTTCATCTTCAACTTGCTTTTTTAAGGGGTGGGTGTGTTTATCTGTTCTGAGTAACGGACCATCAATATTGACTTAAGGATTGCTGTAACAGAGAACGACCAGAGGACCCACAATGCACAAAGGTAATGCTTCACTGCAGAAGTATTTACACTGAATGTATGAATAAAAGTGTGCTCGTTACATTAATTATTATACTGATATTTTTGAACAGGAATGCCATAGAGGGTTTATTAAAACTTACTGTGCAATACAAATGCTTGTCTTTTATCTAGGGTATAGACAGGCAGACAGATCCAGAGAGATACAAGTATTTTATGTACCTGTGTATACCATCAAGAATAGTTTAGTTTTCTGACCCAAAAGCAGAAAGATCTGCAGGGAGTGCTGCATCAGTGATGTACTGGAAACTGCATCCAGCAGTACCTTTCATTTGGGGAAATTAATTTTTGCTGCCATTAGATATCACCAAGTCTTTGCAAGTAAGAGCATAATTCCACCCCTTGGCCCAGGGAATAAAAATGAGGTTGGCATAATTACATTTTGTTAGAAATAGGCTTGTGCCGAGCTATCGCTTTGAGTTTCCCAGGTTTGGTAAAGTGTAATTCAGATTGTAGGGCTTGCCACACATCTTTAGTGAGCTGAATCCAAACACTGTAGCATCGTAACCACCAGTCTTGGGGAAAGTGGGACCTGGGTCTGAAACAGCCAGGTTAGGACCCTGGGAAGCTCTGCAGCAAGAGCTTATGGGCCAATGGCTGAAATGTGATTACTGTCACCTCGAGAATGTCCTCACCTTTCAGGGTTTCTTCAAGCAGTGTCTGATATAAAATCTCTTCATACACATTCTCTACTTGGATCACGCTAGTGTAATCAGCAAAAATGAACTGCTCGTATTTCTGCAGCTCCTGTGCAGAGAAGAAAGGAACAGATATATAAAAATGAGAGATTCTGAGAGTCCTACCTCAACAGAGCACTGTGGAGATGCCATCTAGCAGCTCTTGCTGGCTCTTGAGGTGAACTATTGGAATTACGACTAAATTAACTTTGTATGTTCACAATTTACTATGCACCTATCAAACAGTATTCTTGCACTGCAATTACATTTAAATGCACTATAGAAAATTGCCTTCTGCACTATAATAAACAATTCTGAAATAAATAGCTGGTGAAGAAATGCCTCACTCACTGTCCAGGGAGGCAAATCCACAGAGCGCATGGGAGATAGAGGGTTTGGTTTTGTTTTTCTAGTAGGTGTGTAACATTTGTAGCTTACTGATTTATCCGCACTAGGCTGTCTAGACAATAATTGAGTCATTATCACTAAGCAGCTGCTTGGTGGCCTATAAAAAGTAAATTAAGTGACCTCTGCCCACTTCTAGAAGAGGTGCCCACATACAAACATCTGGAGGTTTTCAAGCAGAGATTTGACTGGGCATGTCAACTGTGCCACCCATTTGCTTCTACAGCTGGCTGCTCAGTTCTGCAGAGGCACAAACACAAAAGGCTTGTGGGAAATGAAACAGAAAGGGCTTGTGGGAAGTTTGCACCACCACTGCTTCCTCCGTCCTCTCTGACAGAAACATGATGTGGGACTCCACGCACTCTATGTATATTCAAGGTGATGAAATGCCTGCCCTGTGCACAGACAGCACGTCTCGAAGGCACTGCTGACACTGGACATGAGACTATTATTTTGGGGATAATAAAGAAAGATGAGTGATATACAGAAGACAGTGATTTAAAATGTCATTTGAAAGTTGTAAGTTTTAATAATCCATACTCAAAGACTCACAAGATAATTTGGCAAAACAAGTGGTTTTAAACTTTTTGAAACTGAAACAAGCTGGAGAGCATCAGCAAGAGCAACACACCGTGGGTGAGAGCTCACAGCCTCCAGGAACTGATGAACATCGAGGGAAACAAAAGGGCAGAGAGGCCGAGATGGCTTAGGGCAGTCATCTTTCAGCAGAGTGAAAATGCAAGAGCATATGCATGGGCTTCAAGACAGGTACAGACCATTTATTCTGAGTCAAGGTGAACAGCATTCTAACTGGCCCATGGGGTAGCCACACTGATAACATCTCCACAAAACTCTGGTAGCCTCATTTGCTGAGTACTAACGTACCCGTATGATTAAGGGCAACAGAGATCCTCTCTGCATGTTTGTTTCCTGATTGTTGATGCAATTACTTCTGCTTATAATCACTGAAAGCAAGTGCACAGCCTGTCTGCTTGCTGCTCCTGCTGCCCAAGCAGGCATTTGGCTTTGAGGTTGTCAGCAGAGGCTGTGCGTGGTCACAGCCGTGCCTCGGCGTGCTGCTGAAGAGGAAAGTGCCCTCTCCCACGGACTGCATTTCAGCCTGCAGCAGGGCTGCTGAACACAGGGACAAGCTCATAACCTACAGTCGTAACTATCAAGAGGAGTCCAGTTTGAGGGGAATTCAGATCTCTAGAGAAGAAATGAAATGGGGATGGACAAAGGTCTGCAACTATCTTTGAGAAAGCAAGCTGTATATACAGTTTCCCTGCTTCCTGAAATCTTCCTTACGCTCCACATCTACCCAACCCACAGACTGGCAAATCTAAGAGTCATTTGGCTGAGCCTGCAGCCAATCTGCACAACTCTCCAAGAGAAAACAGCTGTAGAGTTGAGGATTTACTGCCAAGGTGTTAATCCTTCCCTGCCTTTTAGTATTGTTTTTTTTGTAAATCACAGAAACCTACTGGTTTGCACGTTGAAGCCAGTGTCTTTTGCATTGTGGGCAAAGTAATCTGTACCAGTGCTTCTTGAAATATCTTCTTCCGGATAGTGCTGCTGTCATAATCATATTGCTGTCAAAACAAACAAAAAGAGAAACAAGCCCAAACGTGTTTGGGGTTATTAATCACTCGTAGGAAGAACTGGTTCTTGTTATCCTGCAACTGGAGATGGGTGAATCCCAAAGGATACCACACCACAGATACTCTCAGGGGTTGGAACTACCATGCAGGTTATTCCAGCTTTTACAAAATACTCCAAAATCTAATTTTCCCTTCTTTTTTTTTTTTTTTTTTTTTTTTTTTTTTTTTATGCCTAAGCTAGAAACAGCCCCCCAGTTGCTCTCTTCAAGTATTTCAGCACTGTCTCTTCTGAGAGTAACGAATCCTAGGGGCAGGCTAATTATAAAGCTAATAAAAAAATTATTTACCCAGATCTACAGCATCATATCCAGCTGATTTAACTGCAATTCAAATGACTGCACATGTAAATACTTTTACAAGTGTCTGCCCAGAACTAGTTTTAACCCCCCACAAATGAGCAGCTTTGCTAAGTGCCACCAAATCAGTATTTCCAGCTGATGGTAAGATATATATTTATGAGAAAAATTCACATAAAATATATTCCCCATTTCCAAAAAGGCAGAACCCAAGGTCTTCCCATGCAAATGCTGCTACATTACATTTACCTTCAGTACTCTCAGCTTGACTTTTTCAATGGTTGTTGCAACTTTTGCTGAGTCTGCCTGGCGACTTGGAGAGAACAACTGCTCAAAGGTATAAACTGCATTTTCCATCAGCTAAAAATAATAATTAAAAAAATCTGTTAAAGACCAGTAACATAAAATTCCTACATATGTAAAGAAGCATGATAAATGTAACTTACCTAAACTGTATTTGTGAGAAGGTGAAACAGAGAAAGAATAACAGGCCTAAATTCAATAAATATTTCAAATACTTTAAACAATTGCAGAAGGGGAAGAAAAGCACTCAATTTTGGAATGGGAAACTCAAAAGAAGATTACCTAATGCAAGAGAATAAGAAAATGAAACTACCTCAATTTCTATCTGGAGTTTACAGGCAGGTCAATACTAAGAAGTCTGCTAATGTAACTAAACAAACAGTTATACCGACAAACTTACTTGGAGTAGATTAATTTATATTGTCTGAACATTTCCTGCTGTATTTCAGTTCTCTGAAGGTTAACACACACAGAAATGTTGCAATAAAGAAAGAAAATTAAGCCTTGGTATCATTATTGTGCTATCATAGTTTCCTTGTATAGAATTAATCTGATGTCACCATCCAAACTGATGGTGACAAAGACAAAAAGTAGAGTTGATCATCTATATATAAAGGCTATAGACAAAACTCATTATCCCTAATGAGAAGACTCCCATTGACTCCTACCAGATTCTAGTGGTCTTAATCATTAGAACTGCTGATAATTCTTTTAAAAAGTAAGTGATCAGCAGCTTTCTTTATAATACAAATAATTACCAGCAAAAATCACAGAGAGTGGAATAATTTCTCACAGAATTATGTTAGGCTGGCATTTGCCACATTTTCAGGTTATCTGGAGATTCATTAAAAATATTATCCCCCCTACTCTGAAAAGATATTTCAGAAAAACAGTTCTGCAAGTGGTAGTTATGTCTACTTAGTGAGGTTTTGTCTTTTATAGCTAAATGTTTCGATTGAAATTTTAATATATTACTGGAAGAGTACAGGGACATCCACAGGGAAGCTGTCCGTACAGCCCGGTCTTCCTTTGCATCACATGGGACCACCCCAGTGGATATACACAGGCAGACATACACTATAGAGAACTTCTTGTAGTTTGTAAATGAATATGTCCATACTTATGGATAAGACGTGCTGTTAATTCCTCCTTGGCTAGTAATGTTTTCACGAATTAAAATATGCAGTGACAGAGTCTGAAGGCCAATTTTCATAATTGACTTTGCAGATCAGATAGGATTGAACTATACAGACTGCATTTGGCAATGGAAATGGAGAAGATGGAGCTTTGCACAATTTGTGCATGCATCAGAGGACTATAAACACTCATGCACTGCAGGGCCTTGGATACAAGAAAAAGACAGGATCAGCACAGAGCTAAGTCTGAAGATAATTAAAAGATTAACTATTCACTTTTTATTTAACTTTTTATTTGAGGCTATAAATTTTATTTGAAGTTATAAATTGGCATACCTCTGGTGAAGTCACTAAAGCTGCTTTATTCATGCCAGTTGAGCACTGTGCTCCCAAATTTCCTAAAATTGGCCACTAGAGGATGCCAAGCTCCCAGGCCAAGGAATCCTGTTCGATCCTCCACCCGAATTAAGAGTTAAACCGAATGCTTCTTTTCAATTAAGACTACACGAGCACAGACATGTCTGACCTTTCTCGTTAATAAAATAAATGCCCATGGACACAACGTGAAACTACTTACTATTTTAACGAGAAAAATAACAGCTTTTTAAAGAGAGAGAAGCACTAACAGCATTTTTAGACACCAGTCTTTTAAAGAGAGAGGAACAATAACAGCATTTTTTAGAACAACTTGTGCTTTAATTTAACTTATTTATTGTGAATTTTGACTCATGTTCTGTTCAGAAAAAAACACCACTTGGTTTGTATGGGATCTGTTTTCTCTCTACTTCTTTGTCTTGACTCATGGTCTTCGCTTACTGAAAGACATTTTATTTGGCAGCATTTTGGAATGGTCCCCCCTGAAAGCCCCAGACATGAAATCAGAATTTTATTTCTGAATGATTCTTTGGCTGCTGGTCATGGCTGTATTTAGAAGAGCTGCTTTTAGGAAAACCCTATCCCAGCACTGTGCTAGAGACTCGCTTTCCATATTCATAACTCCCACTCCATAAAACCGGACCGACTCCATTTCACAAGATTACCAATTAGATTATTTCTTTTCTTAACTATGGATTAAAATCACAGGATTCAACATAGATCTACAAAGCCAAATCTGCCTTGTGATCTGGCAATCGAAAGAAGTCCACTGGCCAGCTTCTAATAGATTTCTGGCCAGGCATCCTGAAGAAATAAAAGCAAAGCAAAATTACAGCCTATACTGACACACAGTAGAGGGGAAAAAGAGGTGGAGTTCATTTCTCATCTGAAATGACGTAGTCACTTCAACCATTCCTATAAGAAGTGAAGTTGGTTAAGGCACCTACATGCAGCTACATCCTGAGATGTCATCTGTGTCCAAGTAATTGCCAGTTTCTAACATTAATTGCCTTGCTTTGTATTAATGAGAAAATTAACTACCAAGGAGGAGACATTCCATTTTGTTAAAATATATTTAAGACCCTTCCTGAAAAATCAACCCTTGAGAATGGCAATCGGGTAGATTTTAGCCATGCCATTGGTTATAAGCACAACTCGGGTGCTGAGACACTGAGAATTCCAAACAAGAAAGTTCAGGAGAAGAGATGATCCATCCAAAATGTTTGTGCCTTGCTGAACGACTTACACACATGCAACCTCACAAATATAAATGCCAAACAGCTTCTAGCTGTGATTTTCTTAGGTTTTGTTATCTGTACTTCGATTGAGAGATATTCTGGGACCCTTACACAGCTTTTTATCAAGATTACTTTGAGGCAGATTAGGACAAACCTAACCTGTTCTCCAAGGAGGAAAAACTGGTTCTTATAGTACCTCTTGCATGAAGTTCTGTGTCCTCTGAATCACATAATCGATGTGATAGACCTTGAAGCGACTCTTGAGGTCTTGAAGGAGCTCCTGGAGGAGGTTCACTTTCAGATAGCAGAGCTCCATTTTCACAGAGTTGAACGGTAGGTTCGTAAGCTGATCCACATTCTGCATTCCAGCAGAGGAAGAACAGGTTTCAAGAGAAAGCAACCAGAGGCAAATTTTTAACAAAGAATGTAAAAGTGGCCCTAAATCAAATTCTGATACCTACACTGTAGTTGCACAAACACCACAAGACTTTCTAAATGGCAAAACTAAGCGCTAACATACTACCACCTCGGAAAACAAATACTGCTGTCAGTCAAGTTCTAGCTGGAAGGTCCTTGTGCTAATAAAAAAGGCTCCAAATGCATTCTTGTCTTACCTCCTTTAGCTTCGTGATATCATTCGTCTTCTGGAAGTCCTGGATGATTTCATTAACTTCTTTATCAAAAAGTGAGCGGACTTCCGTGAATCCAGAACTCACCGGACCCATCAGCTCCTCTAATATGGATGTGAGAAATGGCTGGATATTTTCTGTGCAGCACTTCTGGGCAGGCTCAGAAACAGTGGCTGCGGTGTCAGACAAATACAACGGTTGCATTTAGGCCACTAAGAGACATGGTGAAAAAAGTAACCTGAACCGATTTACTTTACTATGAATTAAATGACTCCGTATTTTTCCCTGGAGTCACACCTCCACAAGATGATGAAGGTGATGAAAGGAGAGTTTATAGTTTTAGGAGTGACAGTGAAACATCTCTTCCCATGCCTCACCTAACCAAATGCTAGCAGCTCGGCGGCACTGAGAGAGCAGAGGAAAGGGCAGCTCTTAAGTATTGATACATACTGGGAGGTTTGCACAGAGCATGGCCACCGTGACTCGGTAAGGAGGCATCCAAACTTGGGACTCCACAGTTCACTGAAAGCATCCCAGTCTGGTATGTGAGAACATTCTGAGTTTTATCAAAACAGCTCCTAAATTATCAGCTATTTATTTATCTGCTCGCTTAAGCAACATCAACTAATGTTTTGCCTGCTTTTTACACTCATTTTTACATTCATAGCAAAATCATAATTACTTCACATTAGTTTAAAACCACCTAAGAAGCCCTTTGGTTTAAGTATTCTTTGGTAGCCGCTGAATTTGTCACATAACCAGAACCTGGTTTTGTGGTGCATTCCTAGACATCAGGTCAAACCCACTACACTTTTAACTATGATTATGAGACCTGTATCCTCCTTACATAAGGCTGCCTGGGTGACAATGAAAGCTGAATGAGCAGCTCTCGTCAGGATACTCAAAACCTGTCAGCTCTAGCTCCAACTTGAGAAGACCTGGTATCTTCACAGACACAGCAGCCCCAGGTATCAGTTCCCATCAAAGGCAGCAGAGGCCCAAAGCATTGTTTTTCTGAAAATTAGTGTCTCCAGTTGGATTTTGCAAAACACATGTCAAAACAATGACATCTGGTAATTTAAGCAACATAATGGGAAACATTAAAAAATTGCTCCAAAACACAGCTGTTCCCCCACCAACCTTTGATTTTTCCAGCTAAGAAGTTCTTGGAGTTCAGAATCTGATCCATATCTGAACGAATGGTTCCTTCAAGAGTTTTTGCAAAATCTCTGCATTCTTCTTTCAAGGTACTTAATCCTTCTGACACTTGCTGCTGGACTAAGCCGTAAGTTTCTTCTACAATCTAAGCCCAAATTAAATTAAGAAGCATAGATCAGAATCAGCACACAGAGACTACTGCTATGAGAAACAGCTACTCTGCAAATATCAGTACTTACCCCAAACCAGGCCCGCTTCCTATCGTTCCTCTTTCCTTTCATTTTAGGCAGAATCATCGTCTGAAGGTTAGGCAGGAGTTCCTCCATCACAAGGTTGCTCAGGATCTATATGGTCAGAAGATTAAAATGACATGTTCACCCACTGTTCTTCATCTGAAAACCGAGCACTCGCATCACAGAGTGATGTGCAAACACAGGCCACCTCAAATATACAATGGCTTAGCTATCCCAGGCTGCCAGGAGGACTGGATTTAAAATATTAGGTATGCCTGAGGGAAGCTCCATGTATTTCATCTGAAGTATTTTTCACTGGAAAACTGAGACACCAAGCAACAAGCGACAACAGATGAACTAAGATGCTCGTTAAAATTTACTGCATGCCATCATGAAATTGCCATGTGCAAATCAATGGAGCTAAAATGATTTATATCAGCTGAGCAACCGGATCAAAAACATTTGAAAAGTTGGTTTGCTGACTGCTGCTTCCCAAACTGACCTTGTTCTGGGACACTCATACCCTCCCAGAGGAGGTATCATCCAAAATAAATTGCTCTAAAGAGGCATCAGACAAAGGATGCTTCTGATGGGAAGAGAATTGGCCAAGAAAAGAAAGATATGACTGTACCAATGTGAATCTCCAGCACTTTTTTGGGTGAGCACCAACCTCATCATTCAAACAAGAGAAGGAGATCCCAAGAAAAACAGGATATAGGACAGAAACCCAGAAATGTGGGTAATCTGTGAATCAAATAATTCTACTCTTTTTTTTTTTTGTTTTCAAAAATATGTAACATGATCCAAAAGATTCATTAGCTCCAGCCTAATCCTGAGGCAAAAGGGATAAAATAAATAGCTGTTGGAGTTTGTGAAAAACTTTTCAAGCAATTTCTTTTGTCACTAAAAGATGGCTAGACTGGTCTAAGACCAGTAAAACTTTCACATTGTAGAATTCATATACATTAAAGTCTCCTTCCAACACCTCCAGATTCTTGAACAAAAAACATATGAAATACATAACCTAAGACGATATTCTGTGACAAAAGTGCACCACAGCTGAAAGGCAGGAGGAAGAAAAGTGTCAAAGGGACTTTTCCACATCAAGCATTCATGATGACATGTAAGAAAACTGAGGAAAAGATACCACTGCATCATTTTTTTTATTATTTCTGTAAGCGTATTGTCAGTCTATCATTGCTGTATTTTTCTAAATTGACACTGAGTACTCTTCTCCCTCAAAAACCTTCTCACTTTGAAACGGGGTTCAGTGGTTGTAGAAGAGATGCATCACTCTCTGATCCCAGCACCTAACTGGCAATTCGGTCTTGCAGATGGTTCCAATTAGAAAGAAGAGACATCGCACTGGGAATACAGATGATACTAATTTGGGGGAGTGGCCAATACCCTGGCAAGCAAGGCTGATATTCAGAGGGACCTAGATGGGCTGAAGAAATGGGTGGACAAAAACCTCATGAAGTTCAGCAAAGGCTGAAGTCCAACCTCTGGGTTGGAATAATCCCGTGCACCAGTACAGGCTGGTGACAACTGGCTGGAAAGCAATTTTGCAGAAAAGGACCTGGGCATCCTGGTGGACAAGAAATTCAACATCAGTCTGTAGGGTGCTCTCGCTGCAAAGGGCAACAGCAGGTCGAGGGAGGAGAACCTTCCCCGCTATTCAGCACTTGTCAGACCACATCTGGAGTGGTGTCCAGTTTGGGGCTCCCCAGTACAAGACAGATCTTGACACACTGGAGTAAGTCCAGCAGAGGCCACCACGAGGATCTGGGGATGTAGCACATTGCACGTGAGGAGAGGCGGGGGGAACTGGGTTTGCTCATCCTTGAGCAGATAAGGCTCAGGGGAGACCTTATTGCTGTCTACAGCTACATAACGGAGGATGTTGGGCAGACAGAGCCAGACTTTTCTTGGAACTGCACAGGGAAAGGAAGAAGGTGGCAATTACAAGTAGCAAATCGGGTATTAAGAAATGTTTTTCACCGTGAAGGCAGTCATGGGAACAAGTCCTGAAATCTCCAACCTTGGATATCTCCAGAACTCAACAGCACCAAACCCCGAAAGGTGGTTCTGCTTTGAGTGGAAGACTGGGCCAGATGACCGCCAGAGATCCCCATTTAACTCAACTATTCTCTGGTTCTGTGGTTCTCTTCATAGTATCACCCAACTTTGTACAGAAGAAGAATCAAAGTCTGGCTTCTTCAGTGCAGAAAAAAATGAAACAGAGTGAGAGAGAGTCCTGGTTTCATTCACTGGCACCCATTTCAGAAGTTTTTTTTCAGAATTACCCACTCTGTCAGGCTTTGCACCTCCTCTGCTTAGATCTGAACTACAACTTCTTCTTTGCCCATCCCTCTCAGATGCACCAAACTGGCAGTAAATACACACAGTTACAGGCACACACCTAATTTTGAGAGTCTAAGCTTTCCTATTTCTATTTCTTTGTGATCTCAGGTCTCTGAACACGTTTCCTATGGAGACATCTGCCAGTGCTGGGGATATATGCTGCATTCTTGAATTTCTCTACTTAAAGCGTCTTGATTTTTAACTAAAGACCTCGGTCCCATGTTTGGTTCAGTCATTGCTCATCCTCATGATTCAGAGCAGGGAGGGACATCTTTTATTTCTGGACATGTTCATTTTCTGTTCATAGATCTTGCCCGGGTATGTTTGTACTGGCCCACAGTTACAGATGCCCAGTTGCCAATTTATGATAACAGAGGCAATACTATTGTGCATGTGCTATAGAGAACAGCACATAACCCCTTCAGCAAGCCTTTTTATCTGTCCCGACTGTCCAGCACATATGAGGTTGTGCACGACCTCCTGAAAGCTTTCAAGTGCAGTGGGTATCCTGCAAATCACAGAGAGACATAGTAACCCTATCAAAAAGCAGGCAAAACGCATCTTAAGGTTCTGTACATCTCTCATTTACTCTGGGTAAAGGATTACTAGCTTGCTCTACAGTTTCAGTAAAGTCTCACAGACAAAGTACGTAGTCCTCCATCCCCTCCAGCGGGGTTTGAACAGAGATTTTGCTAAGTGATGTGTATTTTCCTGGCTTTCAACAGCAGCCCAGCGCAGTCCTCGTTCAAGAAGCACTGCGCAGATGCACCCAGCTGCCGGCTGAGACAACACAGAGTGCAGAAACACCGCTCAGCTTTACAGTTTCATCATGCCAGTGCTTTTCCATTTGTGCCATTTCAGTTGTGCCAGTGCTTCCTGTCATTCAACCTCACATATTACAGCTGCCTGAGCAGGTTTTAGGCATGCACCAACAACACAACGGGGAAATGGCAGGAATTTAGACAGCAAAAGCAAGTAAGAAAGGGCTCTGACTGCATGCTACGTTGCGTAAAACAGAGTACCTCCTGGGCCTTAGACAGCCCCTTCAGAAATGTAACACACAATACCCTATTTTATTAATATACCTCTAACATGCAATACCCTGTTAATGTTGTTTTGTGTAACTTAAGTACTTCTAGATTATGCCACAGCACCACGCGAATTCAGCTATGCTGACTCAAATATCTGTCAAAACCCATGGACTAATTCAGGCCCTAAACTAATGGATGACTTAAAAAAAAAATCTCACACGTAGCCCAAACTGGAGCACCGCAGACCAAATAATAAACGTGACAGTGGATCAAGCATATTCTGAAGAACTTCAGCTCTCTGGGAGCATTTTTAGGAATGCTGGATTGGCTTTTTATTTCTGTACTGAAAGGTACACTGTAGGGGCTTGGGGTTTTTTAACCCCTTATTCAGCTATCCTTGATTTTCCAATATGCTATTTCTACATTCATGTAGTACTGATCAATGGAGTTATGCTAATATAAAATGGGTGTGTTGTAGTGCTCTCACTATGAGGCTGTACTGTTGTTTATAACAGGCGTTGTCAAAAATTTCCTGGTTTTAACCCTGTATTTCAGCACTTACCTACAGAAATACCACCTACAATTGAATGTATCCTTTTTTAGTAATGAAACCTTGAAAATGAAAAAGAACAAAAACAAAGCCAGGCAAAGGAATTTTTGTAACACACAAAGAATTTAGTAGGTCTTCAGCTGAGTGACTGGGTACTTGCTAATATTACATTCATGTTGCAGTACCTAGGCAGAACTGCGTGAGCTAATGCTGCGGAGACTCTGTCATTATAAATGAACGTCAGGGAACATATTTATTGGCATTCTGCAGAGATTTTTGCAGCAACAAATTGTAGTGTGCTTGTTCCAAACCATTCACTTAGCTTGGATATTTGCCTAAAATAATTATTATATTTGGTCAAAGCAGGCATGAGAACACACTATACTTACAGAATTATTACTAAGAAGATAATAGCGTAACTAGTCTGGATGTCTTCTGATTACAGTTCTCTTGAGGTATATAGGTTATGAGTAAGTAGCTGGCAAGCAATAGGAAAAATAAAACATAAAATGAAACTAGCACTGTAATAGCTCCATAAATTGAGGGAGGACTGGAGAAAAGAAAAACCCCCACTCCCTCCACTGGAAGGATGGAACTCCTTATACTAACAAATTTATTTTCAGATGTTAGCAGGAAACTTCAATTCCTGACATGATGGCACTGGGAAAGACACTGTTTATGGATTCTTCCCCAGTTTCTACATTTTTCAGCATTTCAAAGGGAGACTTCTCCTAAAAGAACAAGACCTGGTTTCTTAAAACAAAACCCTGGCTCGTGAATTCTCCATCAGGCTTTCTTCCATTTTCCCAAAGGGAAGCCAGATTTCATCAAGAAAAACACCCAGCAGCTGGTACTAAAGTAAATATTTGCCGCTGAGTGCTCAGTGCTTTGGAAAAAAAAATATAAATCAGGGCCCAAATCATGTCTCAGTTGCACTAAAGGACATCACGAGTGATGCCAGGGGGATCAGTAGAGTTATTTCTGCTACCATCAGTGCTCCAAAGCTGCTCACTCAGGTGCCCAAATATGGACCCAGACCCTGAGCTTAGCATCTCATTTCTGAAGAACTGAATTACACAAATTTTTGGTGTTTAAGTGTGACTGCTACTATGCAAGACTCTGTTTCAGAAGTCTGGCACAATAAGTAGGTCTACTAGTTCATCTGCTCAGGACTAAAAGCTTCATTCCCAAAGAACAGGGAAAAGGAAAAAAAAAAAAGCGATACTTCAAAATTTATGTTTAGCTGCTATTTTGGGGTTTTTTGTTTTTTTTTTTTTTTTTTTCTGTAAAGCCTGATCTCCTACAATGGCATCTGGAGGCATCAGAGGACAAGTAATGGGAAACTGTTGTGTTTAGTGGCAAAGGGAATAGCAACACAAGAAAATAGTATGTCTTCCCTACGAAATAGCTGCCATGAAAGACAGAAAAACCAAGCAGAGCCCAACACAGCTTATAGCAAGTATCTGCTGCATACAATCCCTGGGTTCCGAGTTTGGTGTGCATTGCTTTTGGTCTCAGTGATTTACCAAAATTATAAGCAAATGTGGTAGCAAGATGTTAACAAGTGCCTTGTTTTAGGCTCAGCATTTATTCATCAACTGATGCCATGTCATAAAATTAGAGTAGATGTATCAGCCTTTTGTGGAAATGTGGCTAGCTCCGCACTGCAGCACAACCCAACAACTTTAGTTCACAGCACACTTTCACTTTTTAGTAAAAAAAATCAAAACAGGGCTTATTAAAAACAAAATGTCACTTAGATATCAGTAAGAAGTATCTTGAAAACTTGGGTATTTTTACCTAATAGATTTTCTTTTTTAAAATTACATTTTTTCCCCAAGAGGATTTACAACCTTCATTATCCTTAGAGCTGCCATATCCAAAGCCAAAAAAAAAAAAATCAGGAAGGTATTTTTTACCTCTTTTTCATTGCCAGTTATCATTTCCCACGTCCCATAGTGTCCTTTCTCCTGCCGGAAGAACTGAATGGCTTCTAAGAACGCCTCAACTTCATATGTGGTCTGCTTGAGAAAATCTAAACCAAACAAAAAATAACACAAAAGATTTACCCATAAATAACATTTAGAAAAATAACCATCCTTTTTTGAGTCATTTTCCTGTTCCATGTGGATCCAGCAGTAACATTTTACAATTATTTACTAAACCTGAATTGTCTGAAGACCTTGGGCTTTCATTAAGATTTAGCAGTGTAATGTTGGACTACCCCATTGCACATATGAACTATCACAAGCCATCCCATCTAAGCCGATAAATTAAACCAACACCAGCAAGTGTTAATATGGAGCACAAGATAAGGTAAGTTTTACGGCAGCAAGCCTTGTCTGTGGTAAACTTTGACAAGGCAATCATTAACGTATGAAAGCTCATCCCTTGACTTTATACCTGTAAGCAGTGTAAGACCGTGCACGGGCAGATTTTGACAGCACATACCAGGGCCTAGAGTTGGGAACTTCTACTTTTTTAAGACAAGATTAGGAATTTAAGATAGTGATAGGCAGCTGATTGTGGCGTGTTGTACGCCCTTGATAAATTACTGAACCCTGAGTTAACGCTCCCCAATAATCTTTTATTCCTTTTGTTTTATTAAGGAATTGATGATCAGCATGATTTTTCATGGACATACAATAAAACAGTCCTGGACAAAGTAAGCACCATCCTCATACCGATTAAGCACAAAAACTTTTGACAAAATTGTGCTGCTTTCCCTAAATATTTCAGGCATGTTTAAGCACAGCTCCGGAGTATCTGGTTATTGTCCATGGCTACTGCTGCTAGGGGGTAGCTCTTCCCAAGACCAATGCAGTAGCCTGGTGACACTCTGTTGTACAAATGAAACCACAGCACGGAAAAACTCGAGAAGTGGCTGAGCTAGTTTGCTCTTACAACCTCCGGATAACCAGTCATGTAACAGAAATTACATCTCAGGCAATTTGTTCTTTCCAAACTGCTAAAGGCTTTCAAGACAGTTGCAGCCAACACTCTTCTTCACATGAAAGCACACAAAAACACAGCTAATTAAGACTGCTACAGAAGTTATGTGGCAGTAGTTTGTCATGATTTGGGGAGAAACAGTCCCTCTGCCTTAAAATGTGGAAAAGCTCCTAGAGCAATCAGCCAGCTTGACAAACCTCAGTAAGAAAACACACCACTGAAATACTTCAGGAATTCAAGGGCTGTGCCTTTGCTATGAAACAGAGCTTCAGGATTACTGTGAGGATTATTGTCTTAAGAGAAAAACAAAGCCACGGTGGTTTATTGTTCCCTCTTCAAGGTTATCTACTTGCAGCCTTGATCAGCTGAAGTCCTGTTGTGCACACGTTAGGAAGAAAGGGGGGAAGAAGAAAGTTAGTACTCTCAAAGGTAAGTATGCTGCTTTAAAAGATACTGATCTGTATAAATAATGGTTATGTGAAGAGTCAGAGAGTAAGTTCTCAAACCTTGCCTGTCAAGCAAGACACTTCTTTTGACTTGTTCATGAAACTTCTAAAGAGAGAAGCTTTATAGGAGGCTTGCATACATGCCAAGGGCAATACAGGGATTATACAAATTATGGGAAACATGAAGGATTAACCGTACAGTAATGCCTGAAATGTCTGCTCCACACGCTTTACACAAAAATGAAAGCCACAGAAAGCTACAATTAATTTCATCAATGCTTCACCCTGGCTACTACTTGAAACCAGCCCTGTGTAGATTATTTATCTACATGGTGGGCAATGAGGTTTCAGATCTGCTAAGGGCCCAGATGCCCTTTCAGAGTTTCCCCTGGGCGTAATAATTACTTCAGGAAGGTATGTTGTACATACTGAGATGCAGTAAACACTCTCTCAGTGCCACTCTATAGATACAGTCCCTGTTTTGCAGATATTTGGAGGTCCAGAGAGATCACACAATTTCTTCAAGCTCACACACTGATCAGACAAGAGAAAAACATCCAGGTAAAATCCCAACCATACCTTCACTGCTACATCCATGATTTACAGCATTTTTAATAGCAAGTCACATACCAGGATGCTAAAATACCACTAAAAGCGTCGTAAATCAGGCTGTTTGCTGCCAAGAGGACATCTTCTGACAGCAGCTTTAATGAAAGAATGGAGCATTACACCAGAGAAACTGGTGGAGTGTTGCATCTGAAAGCTTTTGTCCTCCCAAAATCAACCCCTGAATCTTTTGATTAGAAGAGGGCCGGCCTTGGCTGCAGGAAGGGGGAACTGTAGCTCTTGCAGCCCTCCGATCGTGACTCACATGTTTTCCTTCTTCACAGCTGTGCTCCTTCCTAACCAAAAGGGACAACAGACCATCCAAAGGGCTGGATCTTGGATGTGCTGAGATGATGATGCGCCAGTGCTGACGACAGCCTACCCTCTAAGATCATCAAGTTTTAAATTCCATGCTCAAGGGAGTATTTTCTCTCTGTTCTTACTGTCCTCAACCCCGTATAGAGGTGGAAAGAAGGTGTTAAAAATCCAAGAGCAATTCATTTGAATAGTTCATGGGAAAAATATTAAGCTGTAAGCGCCATAAAATCCCAATCACACATTCTTTCCTATGCCAGTAAACACAGGAGAAAAACACAGCTATGGTAGACTTACTACAAAACCAGCTCAAAGCAGAAAGGAAGCTTTATCCTTCATGGCTACTACAATTGCTTAATTTAGGCCATTTCGTTCTCACTTTCCATAGGAGGAACAGATTGCATCAGCGATAAGGCACTGAACAACTAGATCCATCCAGGGTTGGGCTGTGCAGAAGCTGTTGGCGAGGCACACAAGACAGAGGCACATTCATGGGATATGGCTCAAGAAAAGGGAATTGTACCCAAGCTGAAAGGAGCTGTGGTGCACATCCTCCAAGATTTCAGCGGGAAAGAGCCAGGGCTTCTGTATATCAGATCTAGCAGTTTATGAAAAGGCTAGAGGACTGCGGCTGGCTTGGCAGCCAGCTCCCTTATGCCACAGCAAAGCAAGGAAAACAATGAAGAAGCCTGTTGGGGTAGCCCTGCTTGCGTGCAAGAGGGAGGATGGCGCGTGGGAGATGGAAGCAGACACTGCAGCTGCAAACAGGGCAGGTGGTAAACCCCGGTGGTATCGGGAACGATTGTTCATCAGCAGAAAGGACGACGTGTGCCTCACTCTCCTGAACGCCCTCGCAGAGGCTTCCCCTTCAACAAATCCAGCTGGCACCTCTCATGAGCGAAGCAACTGTCCCAGCTGTTTACAGAAAGTGGAGCATGCTAGGGGAGCTTGGTGCAGCGGTGGTTGCACGTTGACCTTCTCCAACTGCCATACAAAGCCATAAAGTTTACTGAATGTCTTCCAGCGAAAGGCTGGTGAGGCTTTACAGGCACCCAGACTGATGCTACGGGCTTAGTCCAGGCTGGTCCACACTTGGAAAATTACCCAAGAAGCTTCTCCAGTTGCTAATGAATATAACATCATCTTATTTGGGGAGAAAAAAAACAAAATTATGTTTGTTCTCTTTAATTTTAAAATAAGAAAACCCACCTAGAGACTCTATACATATCCAACTGTGGAGCCTAATTTTAATAGCAGATAAGATATTGCTAACCATAGATTCCTTTTATAAACATAATAGAATAACTGCTACAAAGCTCTTTTTTATAAGATGGAAGAACATCTGGAATCACCATGACTTTATAAATCTCCCCAAATGTGCACATCTCTCAAAGGCATGGCTGGGTTTGTTCAGTACTGCAGAAAGCTGTTTGCAGGAATGAGCTTCCTTGCAGCTTATAAACAGTTGAAATCCATCTTAAAAAAAAAAAAAAAAAAAAAAAAGAATCTCAAACCTTAACTCATCAAAATGTTACACAGAGGACAAGGGGACAAGGCACTGAGTGCAGTTGCACCTGGTGCAGAAGTGTTAACTTAGAGGGTCCCGTTCCTAATTTCAGGCGTATCCGATGCTCCAGCTGCTGTGGGACTCGCAGTCTCCTAACGAGGTGCTCGGGGTGATGAGCTGCGGCTCCTTCTCTGTCACTTGGCAGATGAATGCTTGGTCCTACGGGTGAGTAACGAGGAAATCTGCAGTCCCCAGGTCCCACGTGCTCTCCCACCCACGGCTGGACAGCTGCACCTTTGTTTGAAGATGGATGTGTTGCTGGCACACTGTTCAAAAGCCCCACGGGAAAGGCTATCGGAAGGATTTTCCTGACTCACTAATACTTCTTGTGTGTGTCTAAAGACAGCAGCAGAACTTAATTGCCCTGGTGAATTTGGTCTCATATGTAGCCATAGGTAGACTGGTCCCTCATCAGTCAAAACACTGAAGACCTGTGTGCAAAAACTTCCATAAATAGGCCTCCTTACCAGAAAGGATGAGTGCCGCACACCTCTCTGCCTCTAGCTAAAATTGTGGCTCTTCAGCAAATCCAGATAATATAAAATCTGGATTCAAACATTCCAGTTCAAATTTTGCATATGTATGTCCTGCAGACTGCTGCACTGGGTCTCTTGCTGTGCTTTGTAGCAGAAAGCTCAAAACCAGCTGATGTTTAATCATTTAGATGATGATTTTTCTTAATTACGACCAAAGGGAGATGCCTTTTTAACATTACATATCCTAACCTGCCATGCTGGCTGTTAAAAAAATTAGTATTTCAATGTCCAGTTTAAACTTTGTGCCCCTCTGAACAATAATTGTCAGCAATGAAGCTATTCAAACTCATTCTTGCAGCATGAAAGAGGCTAAAATGGTCATCAAACAATGGGAATGCCAATAGGTGTCTGAAGACAGAGGTCGTATTGTTTGCCCCCTTAACAAATGCAATGGCAACAAGTCGAGTCTTCGTATAAGCAGCAGCACAGTTAATTTCTGTACTGCTCGTGCAACCGCATGGAAAAGTCTGTGTTTGGGAAGAGCAGGGAAATGTTTCTCCAGCTCCTGGTGGGACTTCAGCCAGACGCGATAAGCAGACAACATGAATTTTCCACCTCCCAGAACCGATGGGGTGGTTTGCTCCACTGAGACACCAGGGGTTCACGGTTCCCT